AAAACGCACCTACATATATATATCTTAACAATGCTCCGCAAAAAAAACGTGTTTTCTTTTTCTTTTTTTTTCTTTTTTTATTACGGTTTTTGAGGTGAAAACGAGTATTGGCATCTACACATAATCATCGACAGACGGAGAATCTGGCGTTCGGGGGATTTTCCTTCGCTTATGCCTCCGAAACTTGCTTGCGGCTATATGCGCGTTGTAGATATACACGCGAGAGAGAGAGCCTTGGGGAGCAGGGAAGTGCTTAGCCTTCCTGCCGATTTCATTCCTCGGTTCGACCTTGGTTCGGTGGAGGCGCAGCAGCGAGCCGCGCTTTCTTTTTTTATTTATTTGTTTTGGTCTTTGCATTTTTTTTTTGGCGTTAACCGACATTGAAGCACGGCTGTATTGAGATATTAGTGACTAGGGTACGCGACCTTAATCTTTCAAATAAAAAAAATAAAAAAATCATTTTGAGCGATTTGTTTTTCTCTTTATGATGGAGATTGTAAAGAAAACGTTGTGGTACTGGGCACAGATTAATGTGATCAAAATCACACCAGCTCACGTAATTGTGTACGACGGACACACAATTGACGCGCTTGGACGCATATGCAAACATTATGTATTTTAGTCATGATTTTATTTTAAGTATTATTTTTGAATATTTAAGTATAGTTTCTTATTTTTGCTTCCTTTTTTTTTGTTTGTGTGTGCGTGTGTGTGTGTTTGTGTGTGTGTGCACCAAAGCGAAGACCGCTGCGATTGGTTTGGGGCATTAAAAGAAATATATTATTATTATTATTATTATTATTATTATTATTATTATTATTATTATTATTATTATTATTATTATTTTAACGCCTCTGAATTGATTTCGATCTGTTTGCGACAAAAGCTCTGCTGTGTGCCACAGAACACAGATGGCGCCACCTTTCCGTCCGATTCAACGGATGCAGAACGCTCATTCATCTCTTGAAAGTTTCGCAAGCTTGTCCCCTCTTCTACGTCGTCTGCTTCGCGAGCTAGCCTCATGTGCCTGTTGTTTGTGATCGCGAGTGCGTCGCCCGTGCTCGGGACCTCGGTCCCAGCTCCCCTCGTCGGGTTCCGTGAATGGATTTGGACCGTATCCCACCCCGGTGTTCGAGCCCCACGGTGCCCTATCTAGCCTTCCAGTGTCTCGAGGGTCTACTGAACAACAAAAAACACGTATGGAGTCTCTTAGACAAGGTCGGTGAATGACTTTCTTTGTGGTCAGGCACGGACAAACTTTCTGGCGAGCTCTATATTCCGGACGATTCTTTTTCGGTTTAAAGTCCCCATACTATGCTTCGTGTCACATTTACGTCAGGGCGCAGCCGACGCTGCGAGCTGGTGCGAAACAGCCATGACGTTCGTCATGTTTCTGTACGCGTTCTATTGTCGCTGGATCAGTCATGTGCAGGGAAGGCCAATGGACTTGCAAGTTAGTGTATCACCGTGTCGGCTGCATCCGAACATAGTTTGGACCGCGCTTTGGTAGGAAACACTGTTTCAGCTTCCTTTGGATTTGTTACCTCTACATGTTGCCATACTTAACAGGAGATAATTACACAAAATTCATGACTGTATAAAAAAAGAATGGTACAGCAGGTCAGCAAATCGGGTATTGATTTTAGAGGTCAATTGTGGCGACGACGGACATCGCTTGGCATATGATATACTAATCTTTCAACACTTTACTACGTAGTTTGGGTCAGTCGGTACTTAGGGTAGCTCGTGTACGATAGCTGTGTATATTGTGCTGTTATCGTTCCATTTTTTGTCGATTTATTTTGTTCGAATTTACGGCAGTTTGGCGGAGATCGTTAAAAAAAATGCCAGTTGCGCCCCTGAGAAGCGTGCTTTGCCTCAGCACATCGATGAATTGTGGCGTAGCGGTTCCAGTTGCGCAGGTTTTCTTCTTCTTTTTTTTTTTTTTTCTGCATCGCGCTCCTTATGCGTAAATTTTGCTTATTTCAGTTATTTCATCAAATATCGTTTTTCGTTTCCTTACGAACAGCAAAAAGCGACACCTCTCTTTTTTTATAAATACGTTTTTCTTCTTTTTTTTTTTGTGACGTCATGCTTCTTTGTTTGATCTTCCGACATCGTTTCACGTGCCGTTACGCACGTGACGAGTCGTATGGTGTTGTTTTTCTTGTTACGTCATAGCGTGATCGCGTGACGTCACGCCACGTCACGGGTTTTTGCGTCACCTGATTACCTTCGATCGCTCGTTCGTCTGCTCGCGCGTTCTCTCCCCGTGGGGTGAGTTCTCGTCTGCTGGCAGCGTTTCACGGAACAGACGGATAGTTTGCTGTTGCAATATGTCATTCTTGCCGCTTGAGTTTTTTTTGTTTTTTTTTGTTTTTGTTTTCGACACACAGTTTGACCGAGAAACTTCCCATGTTTTGACGAAACTAGGCGTTAAAACCAGTTTACGGTTTCGTGCATTTCGAAACTTTATATTTTCTCGTTGTCATTTTTTTTTTTTTTTTTTTTGCGAGATTTGAGAAATGGGTGCGTTCCAAGAACATTGCGGCATCTCGGTTTGTGACATTCTTACGCAAAAGTACACTGCGATTAAAATGGCTGAACGCTTTGCGTAATTTCCCCATGCATGCATATTCATCAAGCGCCAACAAATCGTTTTTTTCTTGTTTTTTTTTTTTTTTTTTTTTTTTTGCGTAAATGGTTTAACATTCAGGACAAGGACATAACAACAGCGGCTGGCCACGTCAGTATAATTTTCCGCTGAAGGCACTGATCACAAGCCGTGACAACATATGTTCCGGCGCAAAGCAAGGACACTGTAATTCCATATTATAATTTTCTTTGTTATATTCTTCACTTGTCATTAACAATAACGGTCGAGCACAGCCTGTCTAGTAGCATCGTGGTCCAAATGGATCATACAGCATTTACAGCTCAACTGACTGAATATTTTCTTTTGAACTTATAGCGTACCATCATCTAGTTATTTGTGTAAGTGCTGGAGTTTGTTTATCTTTGTGTAACATTTATACTAATGTAAAAAAAAAAAAAAAAAAACGCTGCAGCATTTTTTTTTTTTTTGCTTGAGTTATTAATTTCTTCAGCCCTTGTGTAAGGCCCGTTATTATTACTGTAAATCTTCTGAAGAGATTTATAGTATTACTGGCAAAGGACAGTTGAAGAAGTGGCTTCGTCGCCATGTGTTTGAAGACTAACATTTTCATTTTTTTTTTTTTTTTTCCTTTTGCGTGTATGTGTGTGGAGAGAGCCCGGCGGGGGGGGGGGGGGGGGTGAGGCTGACTTGCTGGGTTCAGTCAAATCCCGGAGAAAAGCTCATCGGAGAAAAGCTCACCGGAGATAAGCTCACCGGAGAAAAGCTCTCCGCAAAACCGGCGGGATGCGGAGAAAAGCTCACCGGCCATTGAACGTATGCGGAGAAAAGCTCACCGATTTTTTTTTTCTTTTTATATGAAGGCTGTTGGATCATGCGTGACATATATCAATTTATTATCATTAAAATTCGTCAGCTTTGTAAAAAAGAAAATGTCCTTTTTTGTATGATTTGTTAAGCTTATTGGGTATATTACTCTCAAATTAAATCTTGCGGGCGAGTGTTTTCTGTGGCTTACTCTCTAGGCAACGAAAGCCTAACTGAAAACGAAGAACAGGAAAAAGTTCAAAAGCTTAATTCTTCCGCGGACATGCACGTTTTCTAGCCGTTCGTGCTGGTGTTTCCACACGTGGCCTTTGTGTGATAAAGCCCTTCTACGGTGAGCCACCCATGACCTTCAGAGCTGCACACTGGCACCGTTGTCGTGACTTATATAAGAACTAGTCTTCTGTAAGGTAGCGAATAGGGCGAGTTGGAAAACGTATGATGAAAACCACTCAAACGACGACGACGGAGTGAATACAACAAACAGTACAGGACGAAGCTGCTCTCGCAACTAAAGTTTTGTTAGTGAAATTATCAGAAAGAAAGCAACGTAGCCGACACTGATTCCATCAACAAACACCTGCTTATCTATTAGGCACTACTCAATATTTGGAGTTAAAACGGTTCACAGACCGCTATTCGTATTAGCTCGCAAAGAACAAATCTTTTTATTTGACAGAGCTACTGACGGCGCTCTGTCAGTTGTCAAAAATAGATTGCTGTTTTTTTTTTATTAGTGTACGATGTTCTGATTTTATACTTGCGGCTTCATTAATATACAAAATGGGTGATTACTAATTTCTGAGGAATTAGTGAATATGCCAATGAATTTCAAGAATGTTACAAAAAGGGACATATTTTTAATGAAGTGACGAATGCGAATTGTGTTAAATTGCCGATTTGACGCAAAATCAAGAGTGGGTGAGCTTTTCTCCGCATCCACTCAAATGCCGGTGAGCTTTTCTCCGCATCTGCCGGTTTTGCGGTAAGCTTTTCACCAGTCAGCTTATCTCCGGTGAGCTTATCTCCGGTGAGCTTTTCTCCGGTGAGCTTTTCACCGCCGCCCGTTCATTCATACAAGCCATTATAGGCTTTGACGAACTCGTCATTTGATGTACCGCAAGTGTTGTGTGAATAAAAAACTATTATTATTATTATTATTATTATTATTATTATTATTATTATTATTATTATTATTCCTAAATTTTCGCTGAAATCCCCACAAGGCTCTCAGTGGCTTGTGCAGCCCTACGATGTATCATGCTTCTTTTATGTATGCATTATTATTATTAATATCACTATTATTCGTGAACCATTAACACGTACATAATCGGTCAAGCCACCTGGTTGCAAGATCGCAGAACGGCATTGACGTTAATCGTTGATTCCAAGCACGGAATTCCTGCTTGATCATATCGCACGGCCGTACAAACGTGCTCCACGGAAAAAAAAGAAAAAAAAAAAAAAAAAAAAAGAAAGGCGTTTGGCGGGTGTGACGTCACGGCGTGACGTAGCGCGGCGGGCGCTCTGATTGGTCGTCGGCGTCGTCTGATCTCGGAGGTGTGTTTGCGATCACGCGATGGACGCTGCAGCTGTGTAAAGGGACCTGTTATGGCTACTGGTGCTGCTCTTCGTAGAGGAGCCGTTCTGTGCCCGCGCGAAGACGGTTCGTATCTTGAGGTTCTCGAAGACCAGCGAGGAGAGACGTTTGATCGACGCTTTGGGTACGTGAGTGCGCGTCGACCTCGATGTCGGCTTCGTTTTAAATGCATCGCCGGCTGCACGTGGCTTTCGGATTTGCGTGCGGACGCTTCTTTTGTTCGCCGTCATCTCGCGGTTTGGTTAACTTCCGGCTCGGGACAAGCGGCGGGCACTTCTAAAAGAAAAAAAAAGAAGAGTGACAACGTTGTGTTACGTTTTGTATCTGCATTGTAAACGCTTGCAGCGTTTTGTTTTGATTTTGAAGAGTAGTGATCGCAGCGTGGTGGTGATGATTGTCGGTGGTTATGTGCTGTAGTTTCGTGTTTTCCCCTCCGGTTTAGACAAGATCTCCGGAAGCTCCGAGCGCGTTCCTCGCCGGTGGAAGTTTGCCAATTCATTGGCTTGTTCATGTACGCACCAGTTGCGGAATTATGAAACCGACACGCTGGAGGTAGTTATTAGTCGAGCATGGATGTATCTTCTCAGCCTCTCGAATAGCTCATAAAGGTGATCGCTTTGTTGAAGATACCTTTAGAGGCGCGCGAAACTTTAAAGCGAGTTGGTTTTCTGCGCAGCTGCTCTTTTTGACATATCACATTCGAACGCAGTGACGCATATAATGTTTGCAGGAGCCCTCTTTCCCAGCTGCACACTTGGGAGGTTTGTTTAGAACGAAAAAGAGGGTAAACACGTCTATTATTTCGTTTGTTAAATGTAACCCAAAAATGTCATCTTTTTTTTTTTTTTTTACAGTTTTTAGTAACTTCACGGTGGGGCACCCATGCTGCATGCTAACAATACTCTGGGAAAGAGGCATACAAAGCGCTGCACTGCATAAACAATCCAGATAAGGCACAGATTGCCCAGCTGCTACAGGGAACACCAACATACATGACATTCATATACAAGTGCATAAGCCAAACATAGTGTCCCACAGAAAAGTTAAACACTGCGTAGTATAAGTAAGATTACAGCATGATAAATTTACGAGACATATTTCCATCTTTTTCCCCTTAAACAGCTTATTTTAGTTGAAATGGTGTACAAATATGAGTTCAGAAGTGCCAGTTGCGTATTCGTAGGATCAAATCTTTCGTGTGGGTGATATGCGAATAAAATTAAATGTACTATGACAATTCTTTTTTTTTGATTGCCATAAAGTGTTTATTGTAAAGGCTACAGAGAAGTTTTAGATGGAGGCACCGCCATCGATCTTGTGATGGACGCCAGCTTCACTCTCATGTGTACAAGACTCAGCAGAAGTCTCATAAAAGCGTGTAGGATTAACTTTATCAAACAATGGACCTTTTTCCAGTAAGCGTCTGCGCACGCGCACACCCTTTCCACTTGACCTTGACCGCCGTTTCGCCATTTTTGGGGGGCACTGTTTTCTTGCGACACTAATCTGTTCCTATGGGAGAAGGCGAGTCCGGTTGCCCTCCATTTGTAGTAGGCGGCGAAACCGTCATGGGGCACTCCTTACTGGAAAAAGGTCCATTAGTCCGCAAACCCCCCCCCTCCCCCCCCCCCCCCCCCAAAAAAATATAAATGTGCGACCTTACCGAGCATTAATCGGTGTATAATCGAGCGATGTGTTGATTTCGCTCATTTCCACAAGTCGTACCTCTGACAGACAGATCTGTGTTATCGGGCCATGCATTTTTCTTCCGCATCATTCATCAAGCCATCCTTGTCCTTGGGTTCGCTGCATTGTCTGTCTATGCCACTCCCAAAGCATCAATCATTCATCTATACAGGGGGATTGTTCTTTTGTGCTAACGGTGCCCTATGTTTGTTTGCACATGTACGTCTGCTCGCGTCGTGATCCGGAATACCCTTTGCAGCTGATTGCATCAGACCCGACGTTCCAGCAGAAATGAGAAAACCGGAAGATTTTCTCACGGTCACATTGATTTGATAGTACGTAGCATACCAATCCCAATCGCAAAATTTCGTACTTGCGAAATTCTCCCAAATTTCAAATTTTGTGCAGTTCATGAATCACAGACAATGGTTTGAAAAGATTTGAAAGTGAGGAATGCAGTGAAACTGACCATGTCCAATGTATACAAGAATGCCAATAGAGTAAGGCTTTACCTCTGCAGAATGCGGGGAAAGGTGCTGCGAATATTATCTGCTCTGTGAATAGTCAAGGATAGGCATCTGTCTTTAAACACAAAAACAACCTTATCTATAGATCAAGCACGTAGCCAGGATTTTGTTTCGTGGGGGGGGGGGGGGGGGGGGGGGGGCGGGGCGGGGCCTCTTGTGACAAAATGCTGTATGAGGGAAAGGGGGAAAAGGAGGGTCCCAGCAAAATGGAAGATTTCGGGGGGGGGGGGGGGGGGGGGGGGGCTTGGGCCCCATGGGCCACCCCCCTGGCTACGTGCCTGCTATAAATCCAAGCGTGGGGTGCTGCCCACACGTAAAAATGTGCACAAAACGAAAAGCGTGTGAGATAAGACGTGCAAAAATAGGGAGAAAGGAAGCAAGCCACGTTTCTGTTTGCCCTTTGTCAGATTATGTCCTTTCCCCCTTCTCTTTGCACATTTTATCTCTTACACTTTTAATTTTATCTAGAAATTTCTTTCTGGGGGAACAGCCCCATTTTCCCTGCGGCCCTTCTGAACAGAACGTAAGGGCACAAGTGAGCTGGTGTATACTGAACATGGGTCTCAAATACAGCTGGTGTATTCTGAAGTTGCATTTGGGATGCTCTCCTTCTCCTCTTGGTGTCAGCCTTCGTATTTCCCCAGTCTCGGGTTGCTTCAAAATGTCCCTTCTGGCATGATCTACAGAGCCTGTTCGCTTGGCGTTCTGATCAGCTGCAAGGTTCTAGGCTCTGACTGTCGTGCTCGTTATTGACTGGATCTGCTAATTTTCTCCAGCCATGTAAAAAAAGAAAAGAAAGGTGTTTATGACAATTTTTTTTTTTATTTGATGTACAAATTGAAGTTTATATTGCTTTTGAATGGCCTTATGGAGATGAGCATGTTACATTTTATGTCAGTTTTAGAAATGAAAAAAGTCGCAGGGTCGCTTCAGTGACCTCTGGCACCCTGAAAGGCTATTTTTGTGTGAAGCACTACATTATGGTGTGAAGAACCCACGAAAAGAGGCTGTTTTCTGCAGAGTCATGCTGTAAACAGCATAATTTTCGTAAATTTTGCGATTAGAAAAATGCTGCGAAAAATTAATCACGTGAATGGGTTGCCCCATGGTACAAGGTATTATCACAATCATTATAAGCGCAGACACCACTCCGTGTGGCGTGCGGTACCATCAGTGCCCTCTGTCGAATGCTCCGTAAAGCTTAGATGCAAGGGGTATCGAGACAAGTAGACTGCTGCGCTCGTTGCGCTGGCCTTCACTTCTGGGTCGTCTGCACGCACCAACCGTGGTCCCCCAATTTGTCGTATGCGCATAATGTGCGCGCACCATCTCATGCATGTGTGAGGGGGCAAACATTTGCTCCAGCGAAACTCGTGTGACGTAAATAATAGGTAGTTTGTTAGATTCTTCCCATACGTCCTCCAATAACAATTTATGATGCATGTGCAAAAGCGTCGGCAGAGTATTGTTATTGGACTCGTAGAAACAATCTACTAAAACTTCCTAATAAAAAAGTTACCCTAGATGTAATATTTATAAGAGCTATTTTTGCTGGCACACATTGTTAGTGAAAAATGCCCTTGGTCATTGGTGAACAGTTTCGTGGTTCCACCGAGCATTCTTTGCTAGCAGACAACCTGGAAGTGCAGAGTGGTGCAGCGACCGCTGGTGACGACATGTCTCGCCTGCAAAGTGCCTTTACTACACGGAACAATCGACAGGGGGCACTGATAGTACTGCAGTCTATGCGGAGCGGTGTTCACGCTCATATTGATTGTGATAGTGCATAGCATACCACTCCCAATCGCGAAATTTCGTGCTTGCAAAAATCTCCCAAATCCCGGACTTGGCAAAATTCACGAATCCCAGACTTGGCGAAATGCACGAAGTATCGAGCCCACGAAAATGAAGTCATTAACGGTATTTGCTGAAAGAAGCCAAACCGAAAGCAGACAATCAACAGGAACCACTATGATGTAATTCTTGAGTCTCACTCTCTGCAACTTTGCATTGAAATGTCAAAGCCTTTTCTCTGTTTCACTCGTCCTAAAAATCATTTTTCGTAAATTGTACAAGTGTGGTTAATGAAATGTGTTCCATACTCATGACTTCTCAAATATTCCGTGTTCTATGCTTCTGCACATGACTGGGCGAATTATGTTTTTGGTAGCACAGAGCGACTGGCTCTTGGTAGGGGGACTTTTGTGGGGAAAAATGCCCGCTTTCGAGTTGTAGATATTAAATGCGCAGCATTTATAGGGCCAGCCTCGGGGATTTTTGTGTCCGTATCATGTAGTCTCGATACCGTCGGTGACACCCGACAACATGACTTCACGGGACATTATCATGTCACATTACTTCATGAGTCCTGTGACATCATGTGGCTTGATGACGTCACATGACACTGATGTCACAGAGTGAATGACACTTTGACAGCTTTATATATTTACAAAACCCTCGCGACGTGCCCTTGAGCGACCTCCTTACTGTGCCCGCAGAAGGAGTGCAAAGAGGTCCCCTACATGCGATACATTTAGAACACATTCGGAAAATGCCAAAGGAATGGCCGATTTTTGTTCTCTTCGGCCCTTGTAAGTTGCAATTTCATAGAAATCTAGGCTTTCATAATTGACCCCTTTCAAGTACGGACGCACTCCAATGGCTGCTCGGAAGCCATCATATTTTGGGCACACACTCTGAGCGCGCATTAGACACGAGTGCTGCATTGATGCTCGGTGTGAACTCGGATTCAATTGCACGTTTTTCACCAACGTTCTTAGATCAGACGGCTGACAAGCTTTGCGGGCGAACGTCATTTGAAAGCGATTTATTTTTTTTGTTACCTGCGCACGAGCAGGTACGGGCGGATAGCGTTTCTAATGCCACCAGTTGAAACGCCTCCACAAAAAACAAAAGGGCCGTTTTCGAACGACACTCTTTTTGCGCAGACATTATGTTTACCACTTTCCACCGCAGGAAATAAGCATCCTACGTTCCACTGGTTCCGCCACTTCTGCCCATAAGGCGGGCTGATAGCGTAGCAAGCGCCACCGAGCAGACGCACTACGAAATGCCGTTCTTGGAAGCCTTTCAACTCACTTTGATCCAGTAACGTTACTTTGCACAGGAAGTGATGGCCTTGCATAAATGGATGTTAACGGCTGTCAATTTATAACAGGCGGTAGCATGGTGGCCTCCAGTGTTGCTTGACAGACTTTTGAAAATTGTGTATTGCCACGCCGGAGGCATCGTAATGAACGGGTCGATTGAGCGAAATAGACGCCGCGACGGCCAAAACGCACGTCTTCACCGTGTTCTCCTTGTCTTGCGGCGCAGGTGAGGGGAGCGCTGTCACCGGCGCCCTCTCCCCCTGGCACTCCCGGCGGCAGGATGAACTACATTGGGCGGATCATCACCAATGTGCGGGAGTTCTGCAACGAGATCAACTCGGCCACCCTAACGGGGGCCATCGACGTGGTGGTCGTCGAGCAGCCCGACGGATCCTTTGCCACCTCGCCCTTCCACGTGCGCTTCGGCAAGATCGGAGTCCTACGGAGCAGGGAAAAGATAGTGAGCTCTCTCTTTCTCTCCTCTCGGGTACGCATGGAGGAGGGCAACGAAAAAGAAAGGGAAGGCCACGTGAGCAAGAGTACCTAGGATGTGACAAAAAAGACGTAGGGAGTATGAGGCATCTCACCTCGTCCTGCCTCGTTCGAGGAGATAACACACAACTAAAAAAGACAGAGACATATGGATAAGAATTTATCCCGTAACCATTTTGGATGAGCCTAGCTTGTCAACGTGGAGCTGTTCCAAAACGTTCAGGGCGAGTATAGCACATCTGCTTCCCCTGGTTCACGCACTCGACCACTTTAGACAAACCAGGCTCGCTCATGGCTTAACTTGAAGCTCCGCCAACAAATGGCAGCACTAAATTCTTCACAATTTTGGTTCCATTTTGTTTGTGGCTAGAAACTTGATTTTAAAGCCAGCAAATGTAATTTTTAAGACAACAATGAGGCAGCTGAGGGCCAGAAATACTCCCAAAACGGAGCGCTACGAACGGGACTAGGCGAGGACAGGACATGGAAAGGCGTCTAGCTCTGATTTCGTCCTATCTGTTACTTTCTGTTTGTTCACATAACACATTACTAGCTTGCTCTACTTTGTTTGTGTTTGTCTGTTCTTTTTAGTGTTATGTTTCCGAATGTGTGATTCCTGCTACCAATGCTCGTCCTGACTTTAACCCTCTTGTGCACGTTGTAAGAGGTAGATATGAATCATGTTGTGAGCATTCAAACGGACTTTATCGTGCAGAAGGAGACTGTGATGCGGCGAGATCAGGTGCTTACTTGGCCTCTTTCGCCGTGCCTTTCAACGGGCGGAACGTGAACAAAAAGAGTGCGAATTGAGGACTTGACGCACATAACTGATTTTCCCCAGCGTCAAATATTTTGACGAGCCTTACACTAAGAGCCCGTTTTTCTGGCCATCCGATGGCCGTCTTTTTTTCTCCGGAACGCGAGGCTAAAGTATTCAAAGGCCGAGAAATGTCTGTAGTCGTGGTTTTTGGGACACGGCATATAAGCTTGCAGCTTTTCACTGATCTTGCCAAAGTTCTCGTCAAAACTTGGGAAAATTTTACTTCTGAATTGTCCTTGGATGCCGGTAATTTTGCCGACGACGTTCTTGTTTCCTAGCTGACTGGTTGCCATGGCATCGGCGGTCGCAACGTCGCGATACTCGCAGGGCATTGTCACGGGATTCCACGAACAGTCACAATGTGTTGTCCGGGATGTAACGTTTCGTAACTAGGAGAACAAAAACGCATAGCATTAAAATGCCTTTGCTCACGTCCGCCCAAAACCAGTCGGTCGCGCACATTACACGCCTTGCTGCATGAATAGTCCGTGAACTGGCGCTTGAACTGCTGGTCGGCAGCCGAGTAATGGTGAGAGGCTTCCTGTTGCCGCTAGGCCCGGTGCTCCTATTCTGCAGCCGCAACCCTCGCTCCTCTCCACCTTTCTGTGCCCACTGTTGTTAGGCGCAACAAAGCTCGACACAAAGCCTGCAAGCAAAGGCCTTTATAGTATGTAGTATGCTTTGCTGCCGCCGAGCGCACATGGAGAAAAGTCCCTGCTCCCAGAGCAGTCGCCGACTGCGTGCAGATTGCGACTGCACATTCTGCACTGCATACTCTTTCGAGGCTACACCCCCAGACTCAGGCACGAAAACGCTAAGAGTTGCTCCGATAAACGCCATGTACAGTTGAAACCTTGATTTAACGAAGTCACCGGGACCCGCTAATTATTGCGTTAAATCGGGAACTTTGTAAAATCGAGAAAGTCACTCTTCGGGCATAGGCTGCGTGGGGAATTCAAATTTGTTTGTTAAACCGGGAAATTCGTAAAATCGGCTTCATAAAACCAAGGTTCAACTGTATTTCAAACATGCCAGTTTTCATTGCGGTTGATCGTAGGTACTGCATGCACATCCAATGCAATCGAGTATTGAGAACAGTCCTGTCTCTTTAACCGTTTGCGTACCGCAAAAATCTTGAAAAAAAAAAAAAACGATTTGAAAATACCAAATTTTTTTATGTGCCCTATAAAGTTAATATGCAATACAAAGGCCAAGAACAAATGCCAAAATATTTATTATATGAGAAACCTTTTAACACACTGCAACAGAAAAAGGGACTAAAGTTCTGCTTCACTGCATTACCGCAGACAGTTCACATCACATTGCACGCAAAGTGAACGCAAAACATGGAGGGGCTGGAGGGGGATTTTCTACACCGATTCTAGTCTATGCCGACACAATGTCCTCATCGAAATTGGAGTCGTCTGAGCTCAAATCCAATAACTCAGTTGCATTGCTCTCGCTGTTCGATGAAGGATTCATTTGCTCGTCTTCTGAATATCAAGAGACGTCACAATATCTTCGTTTTAGCCCCAATTTTGAGGCAACATCGTCACTATGACCGCAGCGACCAGAAGTTGATGTCGCCATTTTCAAATCCCCTGTTGCCCACGTTGGAACAATTTTCTGCCAAATCCAAAAATTTACCAGGATTTTGTTTTCCGTGAAGTGCCATCTATCCACGGCAAAGCTTACCAGAAACACGTGGACTAGCCCAGTTCGTCCATGGTTGCGTATTGGAGCTTGAATCAATGTGGATGAGCCCAGCTCATCTTCGGGGGGAGCGGTACAAACAGTGCGGACAAACTCAGGTCGTCCATGGTAGGGAAAGGGTTAATATGGACGTCCTGCATTATAGATGAAATTATTGGAAAACCATTTTTCGTCATGCAATTTTGCGCCATTAAATGAGGTCTGCAATCCGGACTACAGACAGCTATTTTGGGGACGAATTTGGTGAATACGGTCATTTTTGTCTTGTCATTATGGGACGCCAGTACCCCAGTTTAAAAAAGAATAAAGAAAAGGCCCCAAAAACCCCCCTGAGATATTTGTGAACCCAAGAGTCCACTTTGTGCACCTGGACGTTCTTTGCGGGCCTGGCGATAAGAGCTGCGCACCAAAAGATGTTTCTGTTCTGTCTTTTACACAAAATTGGTTGTTACCGCGCTGCTTGCAGTCTGTTGTTGCTTGAGATCATGTATGATTTGCAACCGGGAACCAAGACGAATGAACCCTAAGGAAGCTAGGTCACCTCACCGTAGACCTCGTCACTGCTTGAAAAACGGGAGAGAAGCACTCATCCCGCTAAGCTAATTTCCCCTATACTCCGTTTCCCCGTCACTTGGCAAATTGCGAAGGCTGCGGGGAGACAAAGCAACGTCTGAGACAAACAAAAGAGAGTCTGGATGTAGGAGGTGTTCCCCCTTCCCCTCTTCTCCAACCGCTTGGGTTGGAAAAGAGGGGAAGGAGGAACACCCTTCTACGCTTGTTGATGTGTGTGTTTTGACCCCAATTCATTGTTTTGGACTACTCACACTGTGGATGACTTTTCTGGAGAACAAAGGCATTAGTATTAACGAGACATGGCTGTACTGGAAAAAAATTCATTCTTCAATAGAAAGAAAACACTTGCTCTAGTTCTCTCGTTTCCAGCAAGCCTCAGTCCCTTCTTCTTTCTTTCTGTTGCCTGCACACAGGTTGGAATGTTGTTTTCAGCTTTTTAATACTGTCCCCTTTCTGTTTTTCCCTTTCAGGTTGACATTGAAATCAATGGAAAACCTGTAAATATTCACATGAAGCTCGGGGAATCCGGGGAAGCATTTTTCGTCGAAGAAGTAACCGAAGAGTCGGTAGGTCTTGTTCTTTGCCTTGCTGTCTCTTTTATGTTTCTAGAGGTTTCTTTTTCTTTCTTTTTTTCTTAATTTTTTTTTTTAGCATTTTACGAAAGGGGATTAAGATCCCTGGATCTTGATCTTATCTACAAGTTGCAGCGAGTCAACTCAGCAGCGCCTCGTCTTTGTTTCTGACATCGCTCATGCTTGTGTTCCAAATTACGTGGTTCATTTGTGCACTTTCTTCTTATTGTTTTTGCACAGTCACTCTTAACCTGACCTGACCAGAGCCGATACCACGCAGGCGCAGGTGCCGACGTACCTGGCGACCTCCCCGTTGCCCGACTGCCACGACATTGGCGAGGCACTGCACAAGCTCAAGGCGGCACTAAGTCGGCAACAACTAGACGAGGAATGCCGGCAGCTGTCCAGCCAATGCCCGGCAAACGTCAGCGACGCGGAAGACGACGTTGGTCCCCCGACTATCACTGGCTCGACGCCGGTTACGCCCATCCCCTCGACGTCGGTTGGGGAGCATAGGCGACCGTCGACGGCCAGGGTACACAAGCCGACGCCGATCTTGGCCCGGCATAGGCCGCAGGAGTCCATCGGGGTGCAGACGGAGCCCGCACTCACTGGCTGCGACGAGGTGGGTGTGGAGACGTGTTTCTTTATCTCTGTAGTCACCCTCAGGATAACAATGGCAGCGCGGGCTCCCTACCTTCTATGAAGCTTCGGTGTCGGTGTTGCCAACTCAAAAATAAGAAAAACCTGCAGCAGGAGTCCTTAAGAGCCGCCAAACTTTGGGTGCATACAGTTTACTGCTATACAGTAGAACCTCGTTAGGTTCTAACCTTTAACCTAAACCTTTAAAGGGACCATGAAATTACCTTTCTTCTTTTGCTCAATAACTTTTACATTAAACCTTCAATGTTCACTGAATGCCGAATAGGCATCCGTTTTCGTTTCGGTTTATTAACTTACACAAAAAATTGATGAATTATAGACTTCTTTCTCTTCAACTTATCGCAAAGCAAGTTGCGGCGTAATTTTGACGGTCGTGACGTCCGCCGGCATCGGAACCGGGAGTTCTCTCGGCAGTAGGAGAATGGGAGCGATAAAGGGGTTATGACACGGTAAAAAAAGATCAGATAACTATACTGGTAGGACCTGCTGTATTTTCCTATAATCCTGCTAAATTTGTATTGAAAATGGCGCGATAGTTTCGTGGGTAAATCGATTTATATGCGGGCCCCTCGGAGGGCCAGATTTGGGCGGAGCTGGAGGTTGGCTACGTAGCCAGCCTCCAGCGTGGTATCTCCTTGCACGCACTCCCAAACTTGGCTTTCTTGGCGTATGGAGCCTCAGCTTCCTCGTTTACTTTCCACGTCTGGAGCATGCGGTTTGTGACGATTACTTTTACGGCGTTGCTCGCCTTGTCGAAGTGTTCGACATTGATCGCGGCAGCGATGAGAGTGATTGCTATCAAAAGATGTGGGAAGCTGTTCATTTTGACTGCGACCCGCTGGCGACCAGCACCAGCGACGACGAGTTACGGACGTGCTCGCTGTGGCCAACGTCGTCCGGGAATATCTCGCAGGCGCATGCAGGGTGGAAGGTCAACGGGCCGGGGGCGAGAGCGAGAATAGCTTTCGGGTTACCGAGTTGTGTGAGCGGTTACCGAGGATAGCTTGAACGATCATGGCGCCTAGAATGAGAGAGTCCTCATGGTCACGTGGTTTATGGACACCATGGTGTGACTAACTTGGGCAGTGTTGCCTGGTCGCCAGATGAAAATGATAAAAATTCGTAAATTGAATATTGCAATTACCAGAGCTCTAAAAATCGCGTAACTTGGTGTATATACTAAGTAGCCTATGAGCATTCTGTTTCAAGAATAATCTATCCGTTTAATTCTTGTGTCATAACCCCTTAATGGCGGCGAGTGGGGGGTGTGCTGGTAGGTTTTACTGCGCTGATGGCGCTGACTCTCTCCTACTCAGGGGCGACGGTAGCCAAGGCGTCGGAATCGTATCGGGTTTCAGGCGGAGGGCTTTTGGAACTTGCCCACATTCGCGGAGAACACTGTGGATGTGACTGTAATCACGCTCGGTGTCAAAATATTCCGAGCATACACGAATGACCCTAGACCCGGGGCCCCTCAAACCGATCAGCCTGCACCAAGTGCTTCGACGTGGTTCCTCCAGTGGCAAGCGGTGAAACTGCAACGGTTTCTTTTTAACCACAGGACTGCATAAACTAATTCGGGATCATCGGTACACTGCAGCCTTTCGGCATAGTGACCGAGCGATCGATCACAAACAATGTAAACACTACTCGAGCAGCCAGAAATGAAAGGCTGCCCTGCGAAAAAAGCGCGACCAGGAGCAAACCCTTTCAGCAGACGACGGTCGTGAGTTGACTGTGCGAGCACAGTTGGGTCTTTCTCTTGCTTCGTTTACCACACGATAGAAGGCTCTTGGCTCTCAGCATTATCAAATTCGGCAATTTTCATCACTTCTCTAATTATGCTACAAAATGTGGATCTGAATATTGTTTAACAAAACTTTTAGGAAACATTCGCTGGCTATTAATTGTTTATGATCGCGGTGCTGGTGAGGTTGGCTCTTACCCAATAGGCGACGTGGATTTGGCCGACACGCTGCGGTTCCGCGGATGCATCGCAGTGAAAAGGCAGATAGCTTTCGAAGGAAAGAAGGTATAAAAGAGTCCGGTTTTCTTTTAAAAGTTCTATAGCGAAGAACTTTTTTTGGCTCAATTTTTGTGTTTTTGGGGTTCTTTTCACACCTTTTATGATGTGCGAGGGATGAAATTCGATTTCAAAATCGTTTCATGGTCCCTTTAAGGCCAATGAAATTTGAAAACAATTTGTCTTTGAGGTCCACTTGTCACTAAAACTACTTTTTTTCACGAAGGCCTTTGGGCTTCAAGGACCATTCATCTTTAAACCTTAAAACAATTTTCCTCGAATGTCCATTTACCTTTAAGGCCCATCTGCCTTCAAGTCTTGTTTGTCCTAAAGCCCTGTTCGACATTAAAGGGACACTGACACCCCCCAAAATTTTTCATTTTTTGCCAGGCGCTTCATTATGGTGTCGGAGGACTACCCAATTAATATTTTGCAACAGAGTAGCGTATTTTTTTAATAAAGCCAAAAGACGCAACTGCTCGAAACCGAAACCCAACGGAGGTCGGAGACGTGGAGAGAAGAGAGTGAGTGGCGGAAGTCACGTGGCTACACCCGACCGTGTGTGTGTGTGTTTTTTTTTCTCTCCTTCCCGGTAGCAGACGACATGCGGAGTACGGGAACTGCTTGCCGTGGGATTCTTTTGCAGTTATGTATGTTCCGCTCGTCGTTCTGTACTCCAAGATGAGTTGTTTTGTACATTGAGGAGTTGGAGATGAGTAGTGAGTGCCCGTGATGAATTTTGATCGGCTCCGAAAAGAATACACCCAAGATGTTGCGTGAAGAGCTGGCTCACATGTCCTGCGTCCGAAACAGAAGCGGCATTGTGCGACAGAGTTTCCGAAAGATCAACGGGATCGGGACCAATGGCTGGCTGCAATTCCTGTAGAACATATACGGGCACCTCGGAAAGCGGACGCTGATTTATATGCTCCTTGCATTTGTGGAAAGTGATTACATTGAGTTCGCAGGTGTCAAAAAGGAAACCCCATACCATTTAATTCAGCGACGTGTCGTCCACAACATTTGTTTCTTTTTTTCTTTTTTTGTTTCTTCAATAATAATTGTAAAAAAAAAAAAGAAATGTAGACATCAAAAAATATTTGAAAAAAAAAAAAAAAAAAGTTTCACGGGGGATCGAACCCGGTCCTACCGCGTGTGAAACGAACGTCTTTCCCACTGAGCTACCGAAGCATACCGAAACTGGGGGATCTTTGCTTGGTAATAATTCAGCCAATAAACTGTAAGTTGGAAAATTTGCGGCCGATTTTCCTCTAGCAACAGCACTCCCGGGTCGAAGTCGGGATGCACCACGGAATGGCGACATTCTCACCTAGTAAAGAAATCGTACGCGTGCATATTCAACTCGAAGTAGACACGTCGTGCTTGACGTTTGCGCGAGCGATGTCTTCAGCCACGAGAAGGGAGCGACGGCTCGGCGACGTCTTTGTGCAAATCGGCTTGGTGGTCGGGCGTGTCGTACGGGATGAATACCAATTCTTTTGATCAGTCCCAAATTTCTCTTTTAAAGGCAGACAAAATTCGCCGGTACCGCGAACGACAGTTCTGAAATAGAGGTCCCACGCCCGTCGTCCGCTGCCATCGCCGTCCCTGCGAGTCCCACGATACGCGAAACGATGCACGCACAGAATGCTTCCGGTTGTCTGTGGAACTTTTTTTTTCAATCAACGTATTTGCAGCTTTTTAGAAGCCACAAAAAATGGGTTTCATATTTTTTTCTATTTTTAATATTGAGTGTGTGCCTTCAGTGACCCACGACTTTGATTAAATTTGGTGGTCGCATCGATACCTTAGAAAACGGCCCGTGACCGCGAAAAAGAGAGTGAGCGAGACTCGAACCGGCCAGTTCTTGATCGGCGGTTTTCGGGCGGAAAGAAACCGAATTTCGAGCCGCAATTTCTGTTCTGGGTAGTTGAGCTCTCATATGTCACGTACAACTAAAAACCTCGGCGAGCATAAATACCCTGTCAGTGTCCCTTTAAGGCCCATTTACTTTTAAACTCTATTTGCCCTTAAACCTTACATAAAAATCTGGTTCGTCGAACAGTTTGATCGCCTAAGCTGACCTGACCTGCCCTCCCCCCCCCCCCCCCCCCCTTCCAACTCCCAGGACGAGCGTGACGAGCGCCTCTCCCTCAGCCCCGTTCCCGGGGAGGAATCCGCCAAGCCCCCCTCGGCCCCTTCGTCGCAGCCGCCCCAGGGCAAGCGGCGCCGCAAGAAGAAGCACTCGGTGCACCGGCGGTCCCGCTGCCCCCCCGAGGACGCCCCCCTCCACACCCGCGTGCCCCAGCAGGGGGCAACGGAAGACACCCAGCAGGACATCTTCCAGATGGACAGCGACTTCGATGACGACCGGACGGTGTCTATCGGCGTGGCGTCCCCGTCGTCCTCTTCCCCCTCGCCCCAGCGGAGCCCCTTGGGGCCATCCCTGTTCCTGAGCCGTTCGGTGACCATGCCCTCCAACCTGAGTGCTGCACGGGACGAGTGGCAGCAGCACCTGATGTCGACGCCCAAGCGGCTGTCGGTGACGTTTCCAGGAGGCGGAGGGTTCCACCCGTACAGTGATGGGGACATCACGCCTCCACACAGGTGGGGCTCTTTTTTCTTAAAACGGTGGATTAATCCTCCGTCCTCCGCTAGGGCATTCCATTTGCCCTTTGTTGGTTTGGCATGTAAAACCACCACATTTGACTTTTGTTAAAGTGATGGCTCGTATGTTAAGGGAGTCCTCCAGTGTCATAAGAGAGCTAAAGCGTCAATAACTGAGTGCAGCTCTGTTGTTGACACACTTTCCTGCAGTGGTACGCTAACTCACACCGTCACGCCAGGTAAACTTAGAGGCGTCATGTGACTTGACGTCACGTTGTAGTGTCATGTGATGTCAAGTCACAGTGTCATGTAACCTCTTGTCACGTTGGGAAACTGGGTAATACCGTGGGACTACATCACATGACCACCTTCGAGCTGACAGGGGCGGATCCAAGGGGGGGGGGGGGGGGGGCGGCTGCCCCCTTTTCTTGGAGGGCAATTTGATGTGGGTGGACCCCCCCGGTGCACACGAAAGAATGGGAGAATAGTATCCTTAAAAAATTTTCTGCTCCCCCCCCCCCCCCCCCCCCCCAAAAAAAAACAGAACTCTGGATCTGCCCCTGCGTGCTGATAATGTTACACAAACACATTCGCTAGCCTACTTTTGGCAGGCGTGTGGCCGTTTTTTGTGGCATTCTGTTACACCTCTGACGTCCCGGCCCTTGAACACATTCTTAACTCAAAGTATCGCGTGTCAGTGCTTCGTAAAGAGCGGTTTCTGCAACGATTGTCGCACGCCCCTCCTCAGCCCGCACACGAGCCGTCCGTCGAGCCCCAAGTCGGACACTGAGTACGAGAACCAGATGATGGACGCCAACAGCCAGACCGAGGACAACACCATCAGCTGGACCTGGGGGGAGCTGCCCCACATCCCGGCCTCCTCGCGCTTCTCGGACAACGAGATAGACGGCACCAATGTCGCCAACCAGCCCAGGCGAATCTCGTTGGATGTGACGGAGGAGCGCAAGCTCGGTGGGCCACTCCTCTCCTCGGACGAGGAGGATCTGCCGGACAAGCTGAGTGGGTGCCCTACCTGCTTATTCTTAGAGCCACTAAATAAGATTGGAATGGATTGTGGCGGCTGAACCCTTTGTATCGGGCAGTCACAGTTTAGAAAACTGGATCTAGCCAGAAGAACTAAAAAGAAAAGGTGTTGATGAGGCCCTTCAAAGTTGTTCTCCACCAGTCCTCTAGTCTACATTTTGGGAATTCTACTGCTTCGAGGCCACAGCTAGAGTCACTGAATGTTCCCAGAGTACTGAATTCCATTCAGTCCGCTTACCGGAAGTCTATCCCACAGAATCCAGTTCTTATTGAGTGGTTTAGCGTGCGGCGGAAGTTATCGGTAGACCATTTTGTGGATCGGCCCAAAACAACAAAATATACATAGCATGTTTCTGTGTTACGACAGCTATGTCGGGTACGCACAAGTGGGAGCTCCACGCATTGACGAGTTAAGACCAAACGAAAGGTGCATTGATTTTATTTACCATAAAATTCCGTAAGAACGCCCACCCAAAATGAAGAGATAAATGGTGAAGAACATGGGGTGGGCTGTCTTTGGGGATGCCACAGCAAAACTTTATCGAAAATTACTGGTAAGCACCGGTGCACCCGCTATAAACCACATGACGCGGGAACTGATACTGCATATCGCGGACAGGGCAAGTTCGCTTTTCAGAATGCGATAAACACGCGGGACTTCGCCACAAACTCCTGTGTCATGGGAAAGGATACTGCAAGTTGGGGACGCAGCAGATTCGCGTCTCACGGTGCGAAGAACCCGCGGAAACTCGACGAGAACTCTCATCTCCCAGGAACGGATACCGCAGATCGTGGACGCAGCAGATCCAAGTTTTTTGGTGAAATAAACACGCGGGGGTCCGCTATAATCTGGCCTGTCATGGAAACTGATATCGCGCGCGCAGATCGCGGACAAGAACGCGGGAATCTGATACAAACTCGCAAGTCACGGAAACAAATACCGCAGGTCGTGGACGCAGCAGAATCACATTTCACAATGCAATGTACACGCGGGAGCAACTCGCGCATGTTACAGCTAGAAATCGATATCGCGTGCACAGATCGCGGACAAAAACACGGGAGTCCACTGCAAACTCGGGAACAGATACCGCAGATCGCGAAGACCGCAGATTCGCATTTCACGCTTACCGGTTCCGCAGATCGCGCCAATAATGAACAATTCCTGCTGGACATAGCTTGACGTCCGACAGAAATCGGGGGGCGGGCGATGTTTCAGATTTTTTATGTTAAAGATATTTATCCAGAAAAACGGGATGGGCAATCTCTCGGGGAGGGCGTCTTTACAAGATTATACATTTTTTTTATATTGAACAGTCACATTTTTGTTCGCTGAAGGAGATTGCCGGCTTGTTTGCTCGCTCCGGTTACCCTGGTGCTGTGTTTCAAACTCTGCGCCTCAGACACCAAATTTAACACTCAACTTTGACGTGTTTCGAGGTGAGAGAAAGAGACGAGACAGCGAGGAGGAAGTCACGCATCGCTCGGAATGAAGGGAAGAGCTATAATGAAAACAAACCAGCGTCGCCACAAACCAGGAAAGTGGATCGAAGAGCTCGCCAAGAATGAATGCCACACTGTACGCGCTTCGCTTCGACCGCAAAGTGCAGCGTCATTTTAGAGACGGGTTGGAGCGCTACTGTTGCGCCGCGACTCCTCTCTAAAACGAAACTTAGGATTTTCGATGCTCCGGGAACATTCAGTGACTCTAGGCACAGCCAGTGTCACAATATCCGTCTGTCGTCGTCCCAGTCGACGCATTGCCGCCTCATGCCGCCGGTTTCGATTACCCGAGCCCCAGTGCAACAGCATGGTCACTCGGATCGGATAGCACTCTATTACGACGTGGAGGGCTGTTTTCTGCCCTCCGGCTGTTATGTCTGTTGTCTGAAACCCACTCTCCTAGCATTGTACCGGTCAGGCATGCAGGTCAAACACTCTTTGGGGCCCCAGGGTGCTTGGATGTACGAGGTTCCTTTGACGTCGTTCGGACGGAGCTTGCACCCTGATGTTTCGCACCGTTGCATTATTGTCTGGCGCAGAGGGGGAGGTCGGTAACCAGTCTGTGCTGGGCGGCGTGCTGAGCTTCATGAAGCCGACCAAGAAGCAGAAGGAAGATGCACCGCCTACCGCTGCCCAAGAGGGCATCTTTCTGGACGACCTCGACCCCAGGGAGCTGGACCCCGAAGTTGCTGCACTCTACTTCCCAAAGTTCAGGTAAGGCGCTGCCATGTGACGCCTGTAAGGTAACATTACAGGGGTGGAACGGCTGTGCCATTTGCGCCGTTTTGCGCCAGACGCATTTGTCTGCGCCATCTCGTGCCATGTTGTGGAAACAGTGCCACAGCCAGTACCTCGCATCATTATGCACCAAATCGCAAAACATGTGCCAAAAAAAATTGTATTTTGTCTTGGATTTGATTTCTATTGACTCGATTGGCAACAATGAGCGCGTTTAGCTTGATCGGCCTTGCAATTCTTGGTTCTGTTTATTTCCCCTGTGCATCCCGAGTCGGAAGCACGCGAAAAAACTCGGGGGTCGGATTCCAAGCGCTACACTACCTGCGACAGGATTGTTATTCTTCAGCCATAAGCGAAAACAAGTCGGCTAAGGTGAGGTCAAGTCCTCAAGCTTTAGGTTGCCTGAGGCTTTGCGGCCCGGGATCCGGACGTCAGCCAGTTGAAAGCAAATGATCAAGATATTCCTTTTAGTACTTCATCGTTAGAAGTTGGAACCGCATTCCTGCAAGATAAATCGTGATTCGATTGAACTGAAACGCGGTCCGATCCAAAACCTTGCCGGCCAGCAGCTCTCACGTGAGTGGTAGATCTGCTCGGCTTGCTTTAACCATACTACTGCTTATCGCTTCGAATATGATCACCCCATTAATCGTAGTCTGCTGCTTCTATATTGAGTTGCACAATAGGATAAACTTGAAATTTCTTGCACTGTTCCTCTGTGCAGCTGCACGTCCATTGCTTATGCAAATCACATGGTTCGCACATATAATTACTATGTTGAGCACGTGTGGGTGGTGTTATAAGCAGTGCTGGTTTTAATTTTGAGCAGCTGAAAGGCACTCCAAAAATATCAAGGACACTATCTTCAGAAACATGTAGTACTTGCTTTTTGATTCTCATTAAGGCTCACAAAGTTTCAAGTTTTCTCTTCTGTTACACTGTTATCCCATCTAATTAGGTCCCTAACCACTCATGTTCATCTGACTGTGCTGCTAAGCACAATTGATACTGCTCTCGTGCTTGCCCAAGACACAAGTTGAGGTGCAATGTAAACTGATCTGAGCTGCTCCTAGCCTGCTCCAGAATGTAGTTTTAGCTGTTCCCAACCTGCTCCATAAGAGTTGTTTGAACTGCTCCCATGGCTGCTCCCAAGTACATTTTATGAGTTCCACCCCTGCATTACGGTGCAGAAAGATTTTTAAGGAGACCGAGTTTGTATGTTCTAAAATTCGATTGAAGTTTGCCCTCTGCAGCGCCAAAAATTACAATTTTTGGAAATCGTATGCAGTTAAAATAGTAATGACTGTTGGCAACAGAACGACAAGTAATGGTAAGAACATACAGTGCATATAAGAGCATATAACGTATGTCGCAGGAGTCGCGAAAATTCGCACTATAAGCGGTACCGCGCTATAACCAAAACATCAATTATCTCGAACATCGATGTCGGGCGATGTTCGAGGACACAAATGCTTAGAAATCACTACTGTAGTCGAAGTAAACAAACACGACGATACGGGCGTTTCTGCCGTCTTGAGAGCGCCGCCACGACATCGCCGCACGAGTAGGTGGATCTTCCCTTCTGGTACGTGCTGAGTTATCATAGCGACACACAACGAAAATTCACAGTCAAGGATAGCGCTTTTACGCGGAACGTTGAGATGAACGCCGTCTACGACGACGATCACAATCGACGCCATGTTTGCAAATAGAAGCAGCCGGCCCGGGACCGGCATGCAACGCGCGCGCGCGAACACTTCTCCTCGACCTGCGATTGGTCTGTCATAGCGGTTGTTTGTTTCCAACGCAGCGGAGAGACGCATGCGCGTGAACGACACGTGCGTGCATCCCTCCGTCGCTATGGCAACTGAAGCCTTTCTCTTCGCTTCTCCCCCATTCTTCGAGCAACCTCCTTGCCCCGCAAGTGCCGCTTGCCAGAGCCTTTTATATAAAAGGCTCTGCCGCTTGCGGCTCGCGCCGTCAGCGCCGTTATCTAGTGTCGCACGGGGAAGCGTGCTCGCTGCTCTGGTCGTCGGCGCGGTCGGCAGGCTGTGCCAGAAACCGCACTATAACCGGTATTTCCCTTTGCACGCCTGCATTTTAAGCGGTATGTAATTACATAGAGTTCTATGGGAGGCAAACCGGTGGTTTAAAAAAACCGCGTTATACCCGGTCCTGCACTATAAGCAGTTACGTTGTAAGTGGTCTATACTGTATAAGGGACAGAAGATAGTATGCATCCTGCAGGTTAGATGATGTTTGTTTTGGCCTTTCCCTTGCATTTCTTTTTCAGAAATCATTCGTCCTTGAGAATGTCTAGTATCATCTAAAATTGTCCACTTTGTAGCACTAGTTCTATGGACACTAACTAGCATTTTACTCTGTTTATTGCTTGGTTTGAGAAAACTAAACAAAGCAATTGTTTGTGTGCCAAGTGCGGAATTTGAATGCATCCTCTCAAGACTGCCCAAAGTGGCTAAATCCCGCCTCGACCCCAAGTACGAGAGGTTGTGGAAACGTTTTAACGCAGGTCCCCGCTTTCCCCGCGTGGCAAGGACGACGACGCAGAATCCGGAAACGGTCCGTCGCTGTCCCAGTCGCCCAACAGTGACAACGGGGTGAGCCAGATGGCCGCTTTGCACTGTCTGGATAGCGACTCGGAGGACCGTCAAACCCTTTTCGACTCCTGCAAGTGAGTGCCTGCAAGTGTTACTTTTGTCTGCCTGGTGTTGTATGTCGTAAGAAACGTTTGAGAAACAAAACTGTATGGTGTGTAAGTTTGTCTGTTCCCTGTGCCCCTTGTGTGTTCTTTTTTTTTACCCCACAAATGTGCCCCCATGCTTTCGTTTCCCGTTGACTTCGACCGACTGTGACGCGCTCTTGGCTGTCCATCGCGCATTCCCTGTGCAAACTTTGTTGCCGTTTAGAGTGGCGCATAATTTTGGACACATTTTGGAACGCTTTCCCTCCCTGTTAACCTTTCTGTTCTTGAGATGTTCTTGTGTATCTCGCAGTGTATCTTGATAGGTCACCTTGGGAACACATACACCATCATGTATCCGTTCCCCTTTCGATTAGAGTGGTCCTCGTATTGGTGTATGGTCGTGCAGTCTTTATCGCAGGATGCCTCTTAAATACAGTACACGCTCATTGACTCAAAATTGTAAAAACTAAAAAAAGAAAAAGAAAATTGAGATAAGCGGAGTTTTGAAGAAATGTGAAGCACCGAATTTTCATTGTATTGATCCCGCATTGTGCAAATAAAACCCCTCCAACAACCGGGCCAATTGACTTAACACTCACAAGTGCACCACGCCCTGGGGAGAACAAAGCAGCCCCAACAAAATTATCAACAAGCAACACTCATAAAATGAGACAGCAAAACCTGAAAGCAAGAACGGAAAAAAAAAAAAAGAAAAAAAGAAGGTAAACTGAAAGAACAAACACAACAAAAAAGATAAAGGACTGAAGATAATGGTGAATGCAAGAGGGACAAAAACAGCTGCACCAATCGCCAAGCCCTATAGGGAGTGGGGGAAGTAAGACAACAAACGTCTTTGAGTCACACGCTGCTCCAAGTGTTGCTGCGTTCATGTCAAGGGACTTTTTTAAAATTTTTGTGTGTGTGTGTTTTTGGATTGCTGTTTCGTCGTCAACCAGTGTTTGGCCACCAGTTCATTGTTTGCTCTGCCCTGCCTGTATTTTTCTTTTTTTTTTTATGTTGTCAAGATTTTGAGACGTCCGAGGTCTGTCCTGAAAACTTTTCGAGATAAGCGATGAGTAAATGCATTGTGCCTATGGGAGTTCATTCCATGACAAGGAACTCTCTCGACTTTACCGACATTTTGAGATGGCCGAGTTTGAGTTAATGAGGGATTACTGTACTGCAGGTTTGCACTGGCTGTATCGCTCTTTTACAGTGTGAACCAGTGTTGTCTGTCTCTAGGGCGTACTGTCCGCTCACACTTCAAACAATCAAGATTGATTTTACATCTTTTTTTTTTTTTATTGAGGTCGTCGGAGGCTGGCATGAAACGACCGGCCAAGTTCTCACTGTCACTTGATTCGCTAAATATTCCCGATTTCGCCCGACGTATCATGCAGTTCTGACTGCACGACAGCCTGCTGACGCAACGCTTGTTGAAGGTCGTGACCAACACGCTTGAGCATGATTGCGACACCGTCTTGCAGGAACAAATACTCTGACCTGGCGATGTCGCTGTGCGGAGGCCTCCAGGACTGTGAGAAGTCCCTGATGGAGGAGAAGTTTGCCCACTTCATGGTCACCTACGACCACTTCTGCGAGAACCCGGACGTCCTTGGCAACCCCGACCTCGTTGTTAGGATGGGGGGAAAGTGAGTGCTGCCACATCCTTCCTTCCCTCTCTCTCATGCCTGCATGCACACGCGCGCACGGGGGATTGGTGACTGAGCGTGTCAACGCACTGTGGCTCGGAGCACATGGAGTGAAAGTTTGCGCTGCAGAACCCAGCGATCCTGAGCTCGATCCCCACCCCTGCCCGTTTCAGTCCGGATGAGCACCGTATCGGCTTGAAGTGGTGTATGCTCGCTGCGAGGTGCTTGTTGAGGACCCCGCAAGAGCAATGATTCTGTGCACCAGTCGAAGTTCTCGTCTACAGCAGCGGCACCAATGGCCTCTGAGGCTAAGTTTCAGCCGTCTGAACATATACACGCAATTACTTTTTTAATGCAGGGATACATACACACTCGTGCATAGGCACTCGCCACATGTACGCGTATCGTGAAATACCCCGAGCGAGCGCCCACTCAAAATTTTGGAGATAATCATATAAAGCGGGGGGGATATGGGCTCCTCTTAGGTCAGCAATATCTAAAGATATGTCCTTTGAGTTCTATTCATAAACAAACACATAAAATGTCAAGAATGTCATGCATGTTACAAAAAAATTTGCTGAATGGTCGAAGCCTGACTCACCGCTGTTGTCTTCATGAATGATTCTGGGCATGCTTGTTTTACCACATGAGTGGACTTCACGGTCTGTTTTGTTTAGTTTTTGATCATTTTTTGTTAACATTTCTGCAGTGTTTGCAATCTTTATTTTTTTTTTTTGGTTTTGTTTCATAACTGGATTTGTTTGCATTGTGCAGGTACTACACCTGGAGTGCAATCGCGCCACACCTTCTCTCGCTCGCCATGTTCCAGAGGCCCCTTCCAGAGGTGAGCCTCTCTGTCCGAGGTTTACGTTTTTACAAGTTAACTGGGTTACCCTTTTTTTTCCCCCTCAAGTTGTAATTAAAATATTTTGGGGATTTTTTTTTTTTTCTTTGTCGGGAAATGGATGCTTATTGGGTCTGATTCCCACTCTCAATTTACTTGGCATAATCGTTGACGCATCTTTGGAGAAGAAGCTACTCATCCCAGGTTAAATCACTAAAGTTATAAGCACGAAGACAGTGCTTTTTCTTTTTTTTTTTCGCATGTCTGTTGCGGATATTTGTATATCTGAATATCTGTAGCGAATTGTCCATGATGTGTTTGAATGTCTTTAGGGTTGTCGTTCGGGAGGTTTTCCACTCAAAAGTTTGATGCTACAATAAAAGGAAGTGGTGCATTTATCTTTAATAAAACCATTTGTGGCTGAATGGGAGGCAATAGTTGGAAGCATCGAAATAGTTTTAATAACCGTCAAGTTGTTTCCTGTTGGCACCTATGATACATCTCTCTGTGCGTGCGTCTGAGGCCTGCTCGAGATGCGCCAACCTTTCCGGCAATTTTGAGGTTCTCTAGGTCCCCGCGCTGTAACACAAATTGCTGAGATCGGGTTCAGATAATAATGGCTAGCAACTCTAATGACTCGGAGAGCTTTGAAGCGACAGTAGCCAATCGGGGATGGAATATTTTCACATGATCCCTCTGCGGTGGTGGTGACGATAATAGCTGAAGACAAAGATTTAATTTGCTTCTGGTTTGCGATAGACCATTTTTGCGGCAAAATGATTTCATGGAGATCAGATAGTATTCCCGGCGCCGTTTAGAGATGTATAGAAGCGCATTATTAACAGGTTCGGCGGTTGCCATGTATATGCGCGGGAGGTCCACATTGTTGTAGTGTGACATCGAGCCACTGGAAAAAATATTACCCGTCTCAAGCGAGCCTAATGTATCGTAGAAGAGTGGTATTTTTGTTGCGTAGAACTCTCGATTCAGTCTTTTTCCACCGAGCCCTGAACCCGGTGTGGTTGGCTCCTTGCAGAAAACTCTTCACCAGCTGACCGACGCACACATGCCCAAGAAGAAGAAGAAGTCGACCCTGTCCTGGTGGTCCTGGGGAAGAGCCGAAGTCAAGCCAGACGACGCCGTGGACAAAGCAGGCTCGCAGGTTGGCTTTGGCACCTGTTTTGTCTTTTGGCCTTAGGTGCCACACTCTGCTTTACCTTGTGATGGACTGCAGCTAACATTACGAGCCATTCAGGTCAATCTAGCACTGAGAAGGTTCCACGTGACTGTGTCTTGTGTGGTTGAACTTAAATGTATTTTTGAGTAAGACTTGTTTTTATAGTTGTAAGTACCATGTTTGCACGATTCTAACGCACCCCCAATTCTAACAGACAGGCAGATTTAGCTCTAAGATATACAAAAAGTAAATTGCTGCCGATTCTACCTCGCAGGTAAAACAACGAAGGTTGAACACATACCTCATAGAATAGATTTTATGATATGCACACCAGTACAAAAATAAATACCATGCTCTCGTCGCCTTTTCAGAGTCTGACTATGGTTCTTTGCTTTCTTTGCTGTCCGGAAAGGTAATCCTTGCTTTTGTCTAAAGCGTCTTCGGTGCCGCGCTTCTTGCGCTTGTACAAGTGTGCGATCGTCGCCTCTCGAAGGGGCGTCTACCAAACGGCTTTGCAAGCTCGTCAAGTCGCTGGGATTGCGAGGCAACGCACTGCTGCTTCGTTGTTACCTTTTCCCTCCAGCATGATGGCTTTTTATCTAAATAAAGCCTCCTAGTCAAAAAAATTTTTTTGTTTTTCCATCTTAATACGGCAGACACGAGTCCGTAGACGTGAGAGAAGGCGCATGATAGATATACCAAACTGGGCAAATGTAAACAAACAGTCATGATGGTGATGGGACTGGCCACCTTATACCAATAATTGCATTTTTCTTTTTGAGTTTCAGATTTTAGTTTTTATTTTAACGCGCATGTATTCTTGGGCACCTATTTTGGCAAAAAAAGTGCATGTTAGAATCGTGCAAACACAGTAATAGTTGAAATAAGCAGATGAATTTACCGCACTGATCAAATGGGAATAAAGGTTATAAATATAAAGCTGACAAAAGTTGGCGGGGGTGGCAGCTGCAATGCCTTTTGCCTTTCTGCGGCCTTCTAACCTTCGTTCTCATTTAAACAGCGTGGTTCATTTATCTGCATATTTTTACTGTTTCTTCTTTAGAGACTACAAAAAGTCTATGAAGATGACCTGTGACATGGTTTTGAGTGATGTCAGGCATACTTGTTTTAATGTCCGGAAAGAAATTGGATTCAAACTTTGTGTACATTTAGGTAGCTGTCAATTAAAACTTCAGTTTCGTTTAAAATTTTTCCGGTGCCGGTGTTTTTTCTAAATTTTTTCTGCTGTGTGCATTGTTGCCAAATACTGTGTTTGCTAAATCTGTGTCAAACTCACTTTTTTTGCTGATAAAGCGCTTTGTGAACAGCTGACCACATTTCAAACCCATTCCCACCACCCCTAAAGCAAAAGTCTAGCTTTTTGTTTCTGAAAACTCACTTTTTTTTTTCTGCTCTTCAGCACAGTGACGAAAACCTCTGCGTCAGCGATGGGAGTGAAGTGTCGGAGATGGTGGGAAAGCCAAGCGACATTCCCAACACCGACGAAGTTATCCTCATCGAACACTACCATTCCACTACCGTCGGAAAATTGTGAGTGCCCACAAAAAAAATTTTGTTTGCTTCAATTCTTTCAGTATGCTTAAAAATTTTTGCAGCTTTTATTTCTTTTTTCTACTTAATGCATCTTAAATTTACACATCACAGCGGTTACGCGAGGTGGCAGAAAACGTAAAGCAACCGATACCCGTCACACCTTCGCAAGCTTTCCTGTAGATGCTCATATCTAAGGGGACACACCCCCTAGGGGGGTCAACTTTTGAACCCTTGTCTTAAAATTAATGAAATTTACAAGGTAGGCTGCTGGTCATGCTAGAGGGTGTATAACAAAATTTCAGGTCTGTCAGTTAAATGAGAAGGAACTTAGAGTAGCTTCTATCAGCAACACGCCTACACTGTTTAGTTAATATATTGTCAGAAAACTATCACAATATTCAAGATTTTTATTTGCTAGATATGTAGCAGAATGCCTAGAGGGTGTGGCTATGAAACATTTTTTTCTAAAATGTAATACATTTCTATAAATTTTCTCTTCTGCAAAATTGCTCAACTTTTTGGTCTTCTGTGTCTTCGACAAAATGTCAACATTTTTTATAAAAGGCATCTGTAAAGTGACAGAAAAGTTCCATAGCCGCATTCCTTATTAAATTTGAGTCAGGAAAAGGGAAGAATGAGCCTCCCCTGTTTCGCCATTGTCAAACGATAGATTGACTAAAATGGAATTTATACCGAAAAGTGGAACGGAGTAAAATGCATTCAAAGTGCTCCAAACCCTACCTTTTCTTTAGCTTTGGTGGACAGAAATTAATTTATCGAAAATTAACTATGCAGTGAAAATTAATTCAACTTTTTCGGAATAGTACTCTCTAGATGTTGGTGGATGTAAATATGTCATTTTTAAAAATCAACTTTTTTTGCAGAAATTTTTTTTTTTCTGGGCAGTGTCCCTTAAAGGAGCTGTGCAACGATATTCAATTGGAGTGTTTTTCTCTCTACACGAGCTTACTGGCACACCTGGGACTCGAGGATACTCACACGCAACGCCATTGGCCAAGAAACTCCTTTGTTGCGGTGTAATTTCAAGGACAAAAGCGATCATTTTCATTCAATCTCTCCTATGCAAAATTTGATGACGTAACTCGGGGATCGCAGTACACCCAAGTGGCGATATTTGAATGCGGTTCATAGATTGGACCCGAGCATTGCGTGGGCACTCGACTTGGGCTCGTGACAATTGCTAGCTCAAGAAGCATTCGGGTTGTGACCCGTGTCCAATCGCTGCAACGACGACAACAGCCGAGCTATAACAATGTCTGGAACTCGGCGCGTGTCCTGCGCTTTGCCAACCCCAGCGCGTGGCTATGATCAACACTGGCGGCATATAATCGGCTCCAGATCACGTGGCCGCTTGTTCTGGCTGCGAGTTGAGGGGGTGAACGCTGCTCGTTTTTCTTAAATTTTTTTCCTGGGACTCCTATTGTGTGGGGTAAAAAACGAACGCGTGTTTATAGGTCATTAACGTTAGGGATCCGTTTTAAGCGGTATTTGTGCACAGTACAAAAATTGTTGCACAACTCCTTTAAGAGAGCCTTTGAAGTCCTGTATGTGCAAATTATTATTTGGAAAGAGTTTGAAATAGCCAGTCGTCTTTGTGGCCAACTTTTAAAAAGCTGTTGATGGATAAAGGGTGCCTTTTTTTTATCAGTTCTTTTTTTTTACAAAAATTAAAAAAAATTAAGGCATGCTTTTGAAGACAGCTCCTCAATATTTATGCTGTAAGAGCCAGTGTAAGTTAGACTTCTGAGAATTTTCGGTTTATGGCAAGTACGGGTTGTATGCCTCCCACCTCCTTTTGACTACAAGAACGATTGACAAAGAACAGGTCGATATTGAGCCACCCCTAAAGTTTGTGTTGTCCTCTCCATCAGTGTGTAGTCTCCCAAGTTTGAGTCAGTTCATACCAACATGGCCGTTTCAGTAGTATACTTGGCTCAAAATCGTGGTCTGCGACCTAGCCGCAATTGGATTGCGTTTAGTCGGGAGAATGGTTTCAATTGGTGACCCGCTTGTGGCTGATGGCGAGAACCCTCTCCCTGTGGCCTTGTTCAGAATGGTGTCGAAAGAGACCAAGGAGGATGCGTCGACATCGAGCGAAGCAGAGACCTCTGACACTCGTAGGCCCCCCGAGCACCGCAAGATAAACCGGGAGAAGCGGTCGTTCTTCTGCGACAAGTACAAGAAGTCTCTGCGCCTCTCTTCCGACGAAATCGTGAGTTTCTTTGCCAGCGCATGTAGAGCCAACTCTTAGTGCTTGTGTGTTCGCGCACCTGGGATGCAGTCTTTGCGACGTCATGGTGCTGGAGGAGAAGTGCCGTCGGCATGGCAACTCATGTGACACCATGTCATTGTGTCACACCGTGACATCGTGCGATACCATGACATTACATGACACTGTGACATTGCGTGACACTGACATTGCATGACACTGTGACATTGCGTGACACTGTGACATTGCGTGACACTGTGACATTAGGTGACACTGTGACATTACGTGACACTGACATTGCATGACACTGTGACATTGTGTGACACAGTGACATTGCGTGACACCATGACATTGCGTGATACCATGACATTTTGTGACATAGCGTGACACTGACACGCCATGACCGCAAATGATATCACGGCCACGCCGTGATATCATGACCATCATAAAGCATATGATTTTTGGCTGTCTTGTTTGATGGTCTTTTTTATGTAGGTTATCTTTACGGCATGTGTGAATAGTGGATTTGGGGTTTGAAGCGAATAGTGATTTTTGCCGAATATTTTATAATCTAATATTAAATATTTTCTCCAAGCCTTTCATACTGTTGCATTATGGTCATACGAAAACCCAGCTGAACTCGTGAAGTTTGTTCCTAACCTTTCGCTTGTTCAATTATGAGCTAATTTTAATCAAACTACCGTAAAATCTCGAGAGATGCCCTACCCCCGAAAATTTGCTTGATTTGCTATATTTTCTTAAACACCAAAATATAGCCCACTCCTAGTAATGCTAGTGTTGAGATAAATGATGACTTCGGCGTAAATGCGACTAGTTAGGTATGGCGGGGCATAAGCGAACGTTGCTGACTGGGAAGTGCAGTCATCTTTGCTTCGTTGCCCCTCGCCACCATAACAAGCTTGGAAGGAACACGAAGTAAGCACCGCAAATCTTTTAACTTTTCTTAATTTTACACTGCAATTTAGCCCAGTCCATATTTTCACCCGATTTGCTTTTGATGTTAGGTGGGCCGTCTCTCGGGATTTTTGGTACATATTTATAGATTGTGGCCTCAGAAGGCTTGGTGCTTTAGGATAGCAAGTAAATGGCAGATTTGACATACAATTAAACCTATGGAGCCAGCCATATCTAATTGAGTGGATTTGTAAAGCTTGCTATATACAAACATTATTGATCAAGTCTCAATTTAAAAAAAAAAAATATTATATATTGCAGGATATCAGGGTATCTCTGCCTAACTCTTGCATAACAGCCACAGCTAAATTTTGAAACTTTTCCTGCAATGTAGATATTAACATCCACAAAGTTTTCGTTTCTTTATAAATGCACAAGGCACGTGCGAGCACCATCCCATTTTGAAAGTGTACTTTTCTCGCAAGCATGCAGTTGCATGTGTAGCAGAAACTCGTTCATACTTTTCCAAGTTCTAATCGCGGCGGGATACCTTGTTGAGTTCGCTTCTTTCTGAGCACCGGTGCACTGCAGAGAAGCAACACCTGTGGAGCTTGCATACGCGAGTGTCTGCTTCTCTGCAGTGCACCTGTGCTGAATAGAAGTGTGCTCAACGAGGCTGACCTGCCGCAATCAACACCTCGAAACTTCTACTCGAAATTTTTAACATTTGCACAATGCTAATTATCTTGATAGAGATGAAAGCAGATAGAGAAGAAATTATTTCAACAAGAATGCTAGCAATTCTTTCATATGCCTTCTCTGTAATTCAGTAGCACATCTGACCTTACCCTTGCATAGTGAACGCACCTCAAATTTTTGATGCTGCGAGTCTCGAACTGCGTCAGACTGAACCAGCCGCCAAGTCAATTTTGCCGCCAAGCGGCCAAGTTAAGCAAGGTCAAGCCTAGCATGGCAACACACACACACATAATGGCCGGAAGCGGGAAGTTGCGAAAGCGGTCAACAGCTTAACCGAGCAGTGTGCACAACGAACGAAGCTGGTGTCGAGAAATTGCCCAGCCCCCCGGAGATGTTTCGCCCACCAGACGCATCGATGTCAACCAACACGCCGTCGTTCGTGGTCCACTTTCGGACAGTAAAATCACGAAAGTGGTTGGGCCTAGGAGCGCTTGCGTTGGTCTTCCTGCGAAGTGAGCTTCATACGGCTTTTTCTTCGGCAGAAAGGACACCAAAGATGCCCTAAAAGAGGATTTCAATTTACAGATCATGGTAATCGAGGTGCGCCCACGACCAGCCCTGGGTGTGTCGTCGTCAGTTTAGACGTGTCACAGTACTCTGCCGTGTCAGGTCGGCACCTGAAATGACATTTGCGCAGTGTGTACATCCCCCAAAAATGCATCGACTTTTCGTGGAAAAAAAAAAGCGTTCATTATGCGAGTAAATACCGTACACGTTGGTTACGAGCTAACTCCCTGAACCTAGGATTCCAGTTGCTCGAAAAGTGTGATCCAGGCTGTTGCAGTATATCAGCTTGCCACTGTTTAATGTTTGTTGTCATTAACGCTCGCTCGACAGGCCAGCCTCAACCTCAAGAGCGGTCCCAACGAAGCGGTGTTCAGCGTCACCACAGCGTACCAGGGAACCACTCGGTGCATGTGCCACATCTACCTCTGGAAGCACGACGACAAGATTGTCATCTCGGACATCGACGGTACCATCACTAAGTGAGTGATGCGACGCTTCATCGGTCATTCGATAACTGTACCTTGGTGCACGAGAGAATGTTGCATCCAGCAAGACCACTGTAGACACTGAAAGGACGCGAACAACAGCCAATGCGTAATTGACTTTGCCACCGATCGTGTCTAGGGCAGCCCGCGATGATGCGTTTGACGTCTTCCTCGGGTCTGCAGCGTGTGTCAATCGCAGTGAAATGCTACTGTGTGAACGCGTCTTTGGGCATGCATCTGCGCACGAGCGTGCACCAATGGTACGTTCCCTCGTCGTCCCAGGTCGGACGTGCTGGGCCACATCCTGCCGATCCTGGGCAAGGACTGGGCCCAGTCCGGGGTGGCCAAGCTGTTCACCAAGATCCACCACAACGGCTACCAGTTCCTGTACCTGTCGGCCCGGGCCATCGGGCAGGCCCACATCACGAGGGAGTACCTGCGCAGCATCCGCCAGGGGGACCTCTGGCTTCCCGACGGACCCCTGCTCCTCTCCCCCACCTCCCTCATCAATGCCTTCCACAAGTGAGCCAGAGCTCCTCTTTTAATGTGAAACATTCTTTGGCTAGTTGCTCCGGACTTCGTGAAGCCGCATTTCATGAAGCTGTGGCCTGTGACGTAGCATGGCTCCGGTTTCCCTGCTAGATTTAGCGGAAAAATGACATCACATGACTTCATGTCGCGTGACCTATACACAAATTCAGTTTCCCCTCTAGATTTAGCGGGAAAATTGACGTCATGTAACCTCAACACGAATTCGGTTTCCCTGCTAAATTTAGCGGGAAAGATGATCTACAGTTGAATCTCGTTAATTCAGACTCTCTCAATTCAAACTTGCCGATAATTCAAACTAACATGAGGGTCCCATCCTATGCGTCTTTATGGGAGAAAACTCCTGGTAATTCAAACTTTGCTTTCTTCAAACAAATTTTCGGTCCCCCTTGAGTTTGAATTAACGAGATTCGACTCTACATGACTTTGTGTCATGTACAGTCGACATGACCATATGACAATGTTTTTGTGTACCATCAAAGTTAGTTAGGCTAGGCTGGCTATCGCTTTTTGTCTCTGAGTTCTTGTCTTGTTTGATTTCTGCAGGGAAGTTATTGAGAAAAAGCCAGAGGAGTTCAAGATAAGCTGTCTACGGGACATCCAGGCCCTCTTCAACGTAACAGGAAACCCGTTTTACGCCGGATTTGGGAACAAGATCAATGTGAGCCTCAATTACCATTCCTCCACCAAATCCTTCCACATTTTTTCCAATCTCCTGCAAAGAAGCATGTTGTTATAGACCCTTTTCAAGATTCAGTTCAGCCACTTCGATCGCTGTAATCATTTGAGTAGTGGCATATGTGTTGAACCTCAACAGCAACCCTCTTGTTACTCATGAAGGAATAAGATGCTCTCTAGCGAATCATGCGAGGCCTATGAGGTGTTAATACGATGCAGTGCAGGAATACGAGAGCTGCTTAAGTGTTTATTTCTTTTACTCAAGTCCAATCAATGTGTTGGTAGCCCACAGTCTGCTCCAAGCCCCTTGTTGCATCAAATTTTATTAAGGTATTCATGTGGGTTGGCGCTTTGTTCTGACCGGTTGTATCTTTGTCACCGTCAAAACCACAAGTAGTCGAGTAAGAACTGTACAGTGAAGAGCATATCTCGTCTGCCGTTTACCTGCGAAAGTGACGGTGTCCAAAAAAAATACTAAACTGAAGGTTCGTTACTGCGCATGTGAAAAATGAACTTGTCATTTGGGTTGCCAGATGGCTCTGAATTTTGGGGGAGGGGATCCATTGCACACTGTTCTATCCTAAACTGTGCACGTTGCTTCAAGAATGGCTTTTCATTTTCATGCCAACAGGACACGCTAGCATACAGGGCAGTGGGGATACCGGTATCACGGATCTTCACTATCAACCACAGGGGAGAATTGAAGCTCGAACTGATGCAGAACTTTCTGTCGTCGTAAGTATGACTTTTGCGAGTCCTCGTTTTGAGTTTGGTCCGAACAAAAACGAGGCAGTGCACACTTTCTAATGGTCTACAGTCTAACCCGGATATATCAAATTCAGAGGGGATCGTAAAATAGTTCCATATATCAATAATTTTATATACAAAAATATTTCAAATTAAGCTCGAGTTGAAATTTCCTGGCGTTTTCGCTAATACCGATAATACCGAAGGTCGCGACAAACAAGAGTTTACCAAATAGAGCATCCAAGAGCTGCTAAATACAGTAGAGCATAGTTGGCGGAGTCTGCAAACACCGCCGCACTTGCAAGCACGCCTGGCGGGGACATCCACACAGTGTAAGCAAGAAAACAAGAAAGTAACAATATAAAAATTTAAAAAAAAAGGAAAAGCGAGGTGCATCAATTTTTTTTTCTTTTTTTTGATTCATAGAAAAAAAGTTGCGGAACCAACAAAAATGAAAGCTCTCTAAATTCAGGCAACAAAAAAAGAGAGGGAGAAAAAAAAGAACAGGCAAACCATTAACAACAGAAGAAGGTAAACAAAGAGAAGGTGTTCGAAGTGTGATTGCACAACCGTTGTTGTCAACAAACTCGACTTGCCGAAAACTTTTTTTTACCTATTTTATTTTGGGGCTAAGGACTTGCAGAGCATCAGCAGTGTTTGGGGAAGGGCGTAGGCTACCGTCTGGCACTCCCTGCTATCCCTGCGCGCCCGCGCATTCCTTTCCCCTTAGTTTTGCCATCCTCCACTTTTCTCTTTTTTTTTTTCTTGTCTGTCTTTTTTACAACTGCGCTTTCACTGCATATCTTGCCGCGTATATGCTGGCTTGGCGGTCTGCCAGCCACGTGACTCAATCTATGTGCTTGCCACTGGCACAATCAGATCTCGGGAAAAGCAACAGGTGGCCGGGTTCGCTATATCGAGTGTTTCCGCCATGGGATTTCGATACAAAAAGACAACCTCCTATACTATTACATGTGATCTTCAAGGGGATGTTGGGACTGTATGATATAAACAATAATTCGAAATACCCGAGTGCGATAAAACCGGGCTCGACTGTAATCACTTTGACTGCACCCAGGTGCAGGTGCTTCAGGTAGAGAGCTACATATATCCCGAGTCATCGCCCATCCCCGAGCCATCGCCCACCCCTATTTTTGGGCCAATATCGATTTCCGAAAAAACACCGAGTCATCGCCCACCCCTTCAAATACCCCAGCGCGGACTCTGCGATCCGCGAACACTCATCCTACCCAAATGACGCGGCCGCGGACCTTACAGTTGGAGGACGTCCGTGACAAAGTAAAACGATGGAGGGAAAGACACTTCTTTTTGTTTACGCATTTCCTCCGTGAGCGACCCCAAAGTGGTCGTGTATCCGTGCGAAAAGAAAACGATGGAGATAACAAAATAAGAGTTTGTTAATGTAACCGCGGAGAGTTAGGTCAAAGCCTGTCTCCGCCGAAGTAAGGTCACCGCGAACCCGCTCCTTCTTCCCGCCCGTCGCGACCGCGTTTGTGCAATATTTTAGGCAAAGCCAAAGCGTAAATAAAGCTTTGCTGGAACGTCCTACACAGATGTTTGCAGAGCGCCCCAACCGTGCATTGATAGCCCGCCGTGCACGGACGCACGTATGTACGCACCAAACAAGAAAGTTGCCCAAGGGCTTGCAATTGACAAGGCGCCCGACTTGGCCCGACGCCAAAGTATTTGCCAGCGCGACCGCCGGCTTTCCCGCTTTCCCAGCATTGCTCTTGGTCGCTTCTTTGGTCCGCTCGCTCGCTCGCTCGCTCGCTCGTTGCGCCTGGTCGGTTTTTCTATTTTCTTGTAGACTTTTCTTTCTTTTTTTTTTTACTAACTAGGAGAACATAGTGGTGACATTCTTTCACGGAACAAACGTTCGCGCTATATGCAGATCGGCGGTGTTTCTAGCGCGTATGCAAGCAACGGACTTCGCTATAGTAAAATATTCTTTCGTGAGCATTTTTTTTCTATAAAACAATGAAACTAAATCGAGTTTTGAGTTTGACGTATCTCTTGTGCATCAGCGCTAGATACGCAGAGAAAAATAGGCGGTTTTTTCCGCTTTTTTTCAAGTGTTTGTGCTCACCCACCGAGACATGGCCCACCCCACTTTTTTAACGATTTTCAGGCGGTAGGGGGGTGGGCGATGACTCGTGTATTACGGTAGACAATGCCTGCCCAGAATATTTTCTCACAAACATTAGAGCCACTTAGTGGCAGTCTCGAAAGCTTCAGTGTTTTTGCTCTGATGCCATTGATAAGAGAATAAGATAGCCTAAACCAAGTGTCACGAGTGTCATACAAAGACTATCTTGCCAGAATGAGTTCCTCGCTGCGGTGTTGGGAATGGCCAATCTCTAACAACATCTGAAGCATAGCACTGGTGCTGCGCATTGTTCATTTCAGCGCATGGCTACGATGAGCATTGGCAGCATATAATTAGGGTTAGAATAACGTGGCCACTCTTCTCGGCTGTGGGATTAAGCGGTCAAACTCTGCTTGTTTCTCTGACTTATTTTATGACTGCTATAATCCTTAACAAAGTATGAACAGTGGGTGTCTTTCTCAAATTCCCAACCTCCAGCACGTGCTCGTTGACTTCTGATTGGCCCTGGCTGTACGTGCAACAAAATGTTTGGGGCTGTCACATTTATTATTTTTTTATTCTTAGAAGAAACAATACAAATAAAGATACTTATCCTGAATAGGATCCAGAGCCAATGGCTAGTGATGGATCCTTTTGAATGCGTAAGCATTAGTGCCCTGGTATATGCGCCTACCTTGGACTGGTTTGGAGCGCACATATATAAGGTTTGCAACGCCGCCACGGGATGGTGCCACAGCCTTCCACCAGCTGTGGAAACTGGCTAGGAAATACCTTGTACAATCATCAACAGATGGTGGCGGAGTGCATATTTCTAGAGGCTTGGCGATAGCAACAGAGGCTGCACTGGATTGGCTGGTTATGGGGAGCGACGTCGTGACGTAACACCTAGCATCCGAAGATTGATGGCGTCTTTCCCCTTAGCCAGTTTTGGCGCCGTGCAGTGCGGGAAGGCGGGTGTGGCACTGGGGCACGTGTTAACCCAGCCCGGCCCTTCCCGTTCACGCCGTTTAGTGGCGACAGTCTGCAGATGGCTCATGACAAAATATTAACCCACCTTGGACCGCCACAACATGCTGCCCTGTGGCCCCCCCCCCCCCACCACAGGCCCTAGAACCACCACCCCCACTGCATCTTGGTTGCTAAGTGTTGCATCACGCCGTCGCTCTCTATAATCAGCCAATCCTGCGCAGCCACCGTCCTTCACGCATACGACAAGTGGTTGCACCAGGGAGAAAAAGGTTTCGGGAATGTTCAACCTGCGGAAAGGTGCCGAGAGGCTGCATTCACCCCGCTTCGTTATATATAACTGCTGCCCTAAATGCCCATGCATTTCTTACAAAAATTGGCGTAACAACAATTACAATTTTTTTTTTTTTTTCTATTTATTGAAGGGCATTTGGCGCGTGTTTGAAGGACGGCAGCTTGCACCAGAGGCAGAGCATCTACTTGGCTCTTAACCTGTTGCGACAATAATGTTGGGGATCCACTTTGAACCAGTATTTAGTGGAGGTAAAAAGACGTCCTACGGCCGCCGTGCAGGTACAACTGCTTGAGCGACGTGGTGGACCACGTGTTTCCACCGATCCACCCCGGGAGCTGCGACGCCTACTGCAACGGGCGGATGATGACGTTCCCGGCCTGCGAAGAGTTCACCTCCTTTACCTACTGGAGAGACCCCATCGCCCCCGTGGAGATCGAGATCGAGGAGCCCGCCAAGCCCGCCCCCAAGTGAGGGGAGGGCCCACCCTCGGTCCAGACTCCTCCCCCTTCTAGTCTCTTGGGGTGAGTGCTGGCCACAGCGGCGCTTTGGGCCCTTCCGGACTTCTGTGTCGCTCCATACTCTGTTTGATGTCCCAAACTATGAAGTGGCTTGGTACCGCAAGATCCCGGTGGAACGCCGGCCCGTGGTGGAGAGACAAACAATGAAAAAGATTGAGTGGGCCATCTATAGGGAAACAACGGCAAAAGTTTTATCAAAAATGAGCGATAAACACGGAGTCATCTTTGAGCCCGCACGACGACTTGGGAACTGATACCGCAGGTCGCAGACACGGCGAATCCGTGTTCTATGATTTAACAAACATGCGGATATCCGCAACAGACTCGCATGTCATTGGAACCAATGCGGAGAGCCACTCTGCTTTTTGTGCAGGAGTGGTGGCCTTGGAACGACATCGAGCTCTGGTTGGCTTTGATTGAAAGGGTAGTGGATAGACCCCAATGCTAGATGCCTTGAGGTCTACCCACTTGGTGTTCTGACATCATTGCGACCCCTGTGCAAGGAGCAGACGAACTTGCGCTCCGCCTACCACAGATATACCACAGATTGTGGTAACAGATTGGGTGACACAGAGTAATGATGCGGATCCCCAACACGTGGGAATCCGCTGAAACTTGCTTCTCACACGATAGTTTTGGTGTCTCGAAGGATTGATGCTCACGTCCACAGGCAAAATGTAAACCGTGTGTGTTTGATGTTGAAGAAATGCGATGAAAGTGCCTCACAACCCAATCCTCAACTCTAGTCATGTGCAAATAGTGGATTTTGAGTCCTAAAGGAATTTTAAAAAATAAGGGTTTTGGCAAAATATTTTTGGATTGAATATCAAATACTTTTTCCAAGCCTTTCGCTACTGCACCATGCGTGAACTAAAACCTAGCCGAACTCGTGAAGGTTGTTTTCAAGCTTCCACCTCTCCATTTCTAAACTAAATTAATCTTAAGTTAATATTATTTATGAACAGTGGCCCCATAAAGTTCAATGCCTACTTTGGGATGGCAAGTAAATGACACATTTGACACAAAATTTAACCTATCGAGAGGCCAAGCTGTACCTAATCGGGGAGATTTGTAAATCTTCTTGCTACATGCAAGTATTCTTTCTTAGATGTCAAACTTGAGAAAAGGGCAAAAGACAATCAAGAATGACAAATGCAGGCTGCCACGAAATCTCTGCCTAACTTATACTCTTGTATAATAAACACTCTAATTTTGGAAGTTTTACTGTAATATAAATATCAACATTCACAAGTGTTTTTTCTTTAATACTGTAGGGATGCATGTGCACCATCTTGCTTTGGAAGTGTGCTTTCCTCCTAAGCATGCTGCTGCAATATTTGTAGTTTTCGAAGTGTTTATTGTGGCAAGCTGGCACCCTCTGAGTGTGCTTCTTAAGAGAACTCTGGCGTACTGTGGAGAAGCAACTCCCGCAGAGCTTGCCTTCCCGGGTGTGGCTTCTTTGCAGTGCTCCCGTGCTCGGTAAGTAGCATGCTCAACAGGAATAACCCACCGTGATCAACAATTTAAAATATATGAATATCGCAATTCATCTCAAAGCAAATATTGAATAGCATGTTATTTGAAACTACCGTTCGAAAATTCAACTTATTGCACAACGCTACTCAACTCCCAATACTGTGAATTCACCTAATTTTTTTTTAGATTTTGTTGACAGGTGCAATTTACAACGAGTTTGTGGTGTCGGAGTTGGGATACAATGCTTAACTTCAACTCCTCGAGTTACTGGGAACATCCTAGATATCTTCCATAGGTAAAAAAACCTAGTAGCTGAAAGAGAAGAGAAAAAAAAAATTAGTGAGAGTCTTGTAGCTGTAGAAATTTGAGAGACTTTGTATCGATGCTTATGTTGCATTCATGTTGCAGGTTCCCATCCAGTCATCCTCTCGTCAGGTTCCCACCAGAGTTGTCAGCTCCCTCAACGCCGCACCAAAGAAACACACCCCGTGCAACGTTCCAAGTTTTTTCTTCTTTTACGTCCCTGAACATACAATGTTTCATTCACAATATTTTTTTTTTAGCCATTATATTCGTACTGACTTTAGCAGTCTCACGAACAAACCTGAGGAAACCGGTCGTCGTTTTAGGCCAAACATTGTTTTTCCTCCCGTGATATATATATATATATATATATATATATATATATATATATATATATATATATATATATATATATATATATATATATATATATTACTGGCATACAAACTTATATTCCTCGGGCACCTCTCGAAGGGCGGTGTTGTTTATACTTGAAATTATAGTATACATTGTTCCTAGTTGGTAGTTTGGGTTAACGTAGTCCCACACAATAATGAGGTCATAAAGGTGCAATTGATGTGTGTAGCTTTTGTTGGAGTGCATTCCTCACTTCCTAACGCATTCATCACTAGCTCGTGTTGTGGTCAATTTCGTTTCTAGCTGAGGATTTCTGGAGCTTTATCTTTGTTTCATTGTGGTTAACCCAACCTTACTAATACTACATTTTTGTTTTGTCAGCTGTCATCTTGCGCACCTGGTTACCAACTTGACGGTTGTCGATATCTCGACATAGATGGGGCGCCGACGTCTTTGTGATTGTGCAAGCCGCTGTTTGGCTATTGTATGGAACTTGTGGAAGAGGTTTGTTTTGTTGTTTTTCGTCCTAAGTTATGAGAAGTATGGCAAATGTAGCATCTATATCTTGTCACGGAACACACCGACGAAGAAGAATTTGAGGCGGTCGAGTGGACAAAGTGCACATCTTGCTTTGTTCAAGTCGCTGTACCTGAAAATTGAGCTACGCAATCCCCACATTTCCATTTCGATGCTTCAAAATCACCCCAACTCATGAAACATGTGGCAGTGCACACATCACACAAATGACTGTATAGAAATCCGCGAAACCAAACGTTGACTAATTGTACGGTTACGCATATATAATAGTTGACCGGTGAGTATTTTTGGGAGGGACTCTTTACTGACTGTGTCCCTATTTGAGATTGTATAAAAGAAGAAAAAAAAAAATATTGATGTCTATTGTGCCAAGCCAGGACATCATAGACGGTTCCTTGCTTTAGTAATGCGTTTATTATTTTAAGTTCTGTTTTCGTTAATAAATATTGTTGGTTGTCATAATTGTACTGCCTGTTCATTTTATAGCTAGGTTGGCAAAAATACACGCACAAAAAGAATGGAAAACATTGTAAATCAAGACAAGGAGAATGGAAACGCTCAACATGTCGGGACCAAGCTTGCAAGCCAATTACTCCACAAGAAATATTGGTTGTTTCTAGACTGTTATTAACTCCCAGTCACTTGACACACTTCATGTTCATGTGTATATTTTTTTTTAAAGAATTTGCAAAAATTAGATTGTCCCACAAGGTTTTGCACACTCGGTAGCCAGCTGACTACCTGACCTCTTCTTTTGTCGATTTACCTTGGGTGAGAGAAGAAAGCCTACTGGTTCATGCGATGCCACCCGTTTGGTTCACTGGGCCATCAACCTGTAGGGGAACCTAGAGCCACTGCAAAAGCTACGCTTCAGATTATTGCCACCTCAGCCATCTTGGTCTAAAATCACAGGCAAGAGCCTTTCTTCTTATGAAAACGTTAAAACAGTCCGCCACCGAGCAAAACAATATCGCCTGACCTTTCTTATATCGTGGGTCAAGGCATTTTTCGAATTGCAACGGTCCCCAATAGACCCTCTTCGAAAGACCACACAGCCGCCTGTCTGTTATTGCTTGATCACATGCGTCGGCATTCAGTGTGAATTCGGCTGGGCTCGTCGTCTGCTTCTTGCACAGGGGTTATGGTGATGTTCGAACGATGCCGAGCTCCGATTGGTTTTGATTGAAAGGATAGTGGGTAGACCCGAATGCAATATGCCTTGAGGTCTACCTACTATTTTCAATCGTCCAATAAAAGCCTGGCGTTCCGAAATCATCGCAACCCTTGTGCAAGAAGCAGACGAACTTACGCTCCGCATTGGAAACAAGTGCTGCGTCATCGGTCAGCGAAAACTCGGATCCAATCGTGCGCTTCGTGTCTAAGCAATGGCGACCTCCAGTGTTGCTTGGTGGACTTTTGGAAAAGGCCTATTGCATCCGTTTTGCGGCAAGCACAAAATAGCGGCGCCCACGTGAAGATCGGGGAATGGGAGGACGATACTCGTGGAAGCGTAGCAACTTTAGCAGCTCTAGGTGAACAAATGCCGGTCTAACCAGGCCAATCGTAACGAATCCGGGCCTGGCCAGCCTCGTGAATCCACTTTGTAGCGATCCACTTAGACCCGACCAGAACTGGACACGCTCCGTGCTCGGTCCGCTCGTCGCCTACGCTCCTGTGTACGCAGCAGGACGGAAGGCTATTGGTGCTTCCGGGAGGCAGGTTGTGCCAGAACAGGGCCATCCCGGCCTCGGGCTGAACCCTGACACGGAGGCGCTTGAACAGTGTGGCGCCTCCTCTCTCGACGGAGGACAAATACACGAGCCAGGTGGCCTGGCGTTGACCCGCAAACGTTTCCCAGCCTCTTAGTGGCTTGTCCTTGGTGGAGAAGTCGAAGTGCGGGGAATAGTGTCCTCCGACGCCGTAGTTCACCACTTGTAAGTGTTCCGCGCTTGAGGTGGACAGACCCGTGGCAGCGGCAATGCGGCGCGATAGTTTCTTTACGACGGGATGGTGGTGGTCGCTGAGCCAGGCAGCCTGTTCCGGAGGTGGGAGAGAAAGAGGACTTTCAGCTTGAAACCAAAGTTATGATTCATGAAGTGTTCTCTAGGGAATGTAGGAAGCTGTGGAGTAGGCTCTAATCATATCTCATTCTGCACTTGACTTTCAGGGAACTGGTCACTTTCACCTGAGAGCAGAGGTATCGGAACTATTCGTGAAAGGAGAGGGGGGGATTTAATAAATTATTGTGTGAATTCCTGCTCCTCCCACGTATTCTTCCCCTCCCCTGTTCCGACATCACTGACGGACAACGCGTTGGAAGGTACATGCTCGTTGGATCGGTCATACGTCTCTTGCGTCACCAGCCTTTGCTGGTGACGCAAAAATGTCAGCAGTACAGCATTGTCTCCTAGGCAGTGTTGGGTTGGGACGAAAGGGAGACGTCGATTGTTTCGCCGAGCGCTTAGCGCCCACCGTACTGTCAGCTTCGGGTGCTACGATGAGCAGAGACCGTGTATTCCTTTTTTACCTTTCGGTTGCTAAGAAGGTTGCCACAACACAACCCTTAAAATTTGCCACCCTGACCCATATTTTCTGAAACGAATAGGGGATACCAGTGATTTAAACAACCCCCCTCCCCCTCCCCCCCCCCCCCCCCCCCCCCGCCCCCTAGAATTTTCTGTGCAAAGCACATACAAGACTACATCTCCCTTTCCCAGACACTCCCTACAGCCCCTCTCCCCATGAAAAAAAAAAATTCTGACGTTCCTTAGGTTGAAAATTCTGGATAAACCCCTGGGGGATACCATGGTCATGCATGGTACACTAGCGACTCTTGTGCGCGTGTTCTCGCAAAGGTAAAATGCTTTCTGAGCCGATTTGGGGGACGAGCCAGTCCCGGAGGTAGTGCAATGCCGGGCTAGCCCTAGCGTCCCCAAAGCAAGCTCTGTGAAGGAACACCATTTTCAAAAATAAGTATAATATCTTGGACCAATTAGGTCCGTATCAGATATTAAGCTGATAAGAACAGATGTCTCCATACGATCTAAGCCAGTAGGCCGAGAAGCGATGCTCCCTCAATTCCGAAAAATTTAGGTTTCCATGTGATTCACATTCACAAAGCACTACTAAACAACTCTACGTCTTCGGATTCGCGAAATGTGGAATATTATTTGTGTAATCCTAATTTAAAGGGCAACTCCGCTCAATTCCGAACATTTCGGGATAATGAGTGATTTCGAATTAAAAAGCCCTAGTAAAAGACACTACGTCGTTTGCTTCGCGAAAAATGGGATATATATTTTTAAATCTAATTTTAAACACGAGCGGAAATCGAAACCGAAACCTCGGCTCCGTCCGGCAACATTGGCCTCGGGCCGCCAAGTACATGGCCATCACGTGGTACGAGATGTCACGTGATCCTCGGCCCAACGACGGGCGGGATGGGGGCGGGTGTGCGGCAGGCGCGAACGCGAGTGTCGTCTGCACCGCACTCTTCGCCACGTTTTGGTGTCTACGGCATTCGACGACGTCTGCACAACTGCGGCATAAATCTGCGACTCTGCGCACGTGGTGTCCATAGTGTGGACGAAACTCCGAGAGGCAATAATCACAAACGGTGAGACGACGACGGTGGTTGTGACGCGGAAGACGGCGGTAACGGCGGGACGACGGCGGGCGGTTGGTCTGCTCCCAAGAAGCGCGCTGCGCAGGCGCGTACGCCAATCACGTGGACACCGCTGAGCGCGGAGAAGCAACGTTGCTGACGTCATGCGCTACGCTCGATCGGAGAAGTAAAAACAAGCAAAAGGGGGCCATGGTGATGACGTTTAGCTCAATGTTTGCTCCGCCCATGCCGTAGCCTTGACTGCGCTGTTGGTCGCGCCTGAATTCGCCCGCTCGAGTCAGCCGATTTCGGTAACTTGGCGAGTTGCAAAGTTTGCCGGACCGTTTAAGAAACATTTAGACAGAACTGCGTCGTAATATTTGACGTGTGGTCTTCCTAGGCGATACTAAAGAGGACTGCATTGTTTTTTCAAAACCAAAAATGAAGCGGAGTTGCCCTTTAAACATCAGCAGATACCGAAACCGAAACTTCGGTTGCGTCAGGCAACATTGGTCTCGGGTCGTCAGAGTCATGGCACGTCACGTCGAACCACGTGGTCTTGTGACGTTCGGGAGGAAGCGAGAAACCGAAAAAAGTCTTTTTTTTTTTTTTTTTTTTTTTTTTTATTGGACGCGGGCAGGTTGGTTGCTCCGCATGGCGTGGACGGTGATGGCCCGGAGGCGAGGGGGAAGGGGAGAAGACGAAAGAGGAGAAAAGGAGCGGAGAAACGGACCGATAAGCGCGCAGGGCAGCGCATCCCAGGCTCATCCGTGTTACGGTGATCACGTGAACGCCCGGTCAGCCAACACCGGGAGGAGAAACTCATGACGTCTTCGTTCAATTTCGCTCTGAGAAGTAAAAGCAAACAAAACGTGAGAATGACGTATGCATGCCTCTGACGTAGTGGCTCAACGTTGGCCGCTCCATCTCCGTGGCATTGACTGCGCTGGTGATTGCGCCTCGCGCCGCACGCTAGAGTTGGCAGATTTCGGCGACTTGGCTCGCTTGAAGGTTTGCTGGCCAGTTTATTAAATATATATACGGAATTAGATCGTAATATTTGACATGGGGTCTTCCTATATGATACTGAAGAGGGCTACATAGTTTTCTAAATATCAAAAATGAAGCGGAGTTGCCCTTTAAAGGGGCCGTGCAACGGTTTCAATGTTGAAAGAATTGCCAGTTTGCATTTTTTATATTTATACAAGCCCAAGTGACCAAAAACGCGTCACCTTTCCCCGAAAAACTGCTATTCTGCTGCGTAATCGCAAGGCAAAAAACGAACTATTTGCCGATCTGCAGCCGCCTGTGGCGGCTACGGGAACTAAAATGACGGCGTCTCTGGGGGTACCCGGAAGTCAACAAACCCCGTCCCCCTACGCTGCTGCACTCGCCGTCAGCCCCGTGGCGAGCCGCCCTTTGTGTCCATCGCTCGCCGCGACCTTCGACGAGGCTATAATAATTAGAAGTAGACAATTGCGGAGGAAGCGGCTGCGGTCTCTGAAGGGAGGGCCCAAGGGAAAACCACGTGAACCCCCAAAGTACGTCACTTGAAAGTCGACATGGACGTCGTGGAGAGTTGAGAGGCACTTCGACTTTCAATTTGTTTATTTTTTTTTTTTTTTTTTTTTAAGAACTAGCGCTCGCAAGAAAATGCGGTTTTCTGTTTTTCGTTTTTCGTGATTTTCAAGTACCCCTAGCTTTATACAGCATTTGCTAATTTCTTCGAGAGAAAGGATAATGATATTCTAAAGCAGGAATATTACCATCACCAGGTTAGTTATATCCCTTAGGAGGGATTAGTCACACAACGAAGCCTCTAGATATACCGACATTTTTGTGAACAATAACGTGCAGCTCCATAAACACGTGGACCCAATGTCTCGCCACACCAGCTCTTTGCTTGAGGTGACATTTTCCTTGTCTTCACATTTTCATTGTATCACCCTATACTCTATTTTATCTTATGATGTACCGCTGGAAAGGCTACAAGCACGGGCTCCTTTTCTAGGGCAGATATCGGCGGCACAAGCTCTCGTGCGTTTAGGGCAGCTGCCAACGCTATGAGCTCGCGCTCCTAGCCTTCGCTGCGGTACAAAATAAGGTGAAACGGAGTATAGCAGTTTCCATTCTTTCCTCTTTAGGAGGGTGTGGTGAGAGCTACGGCGCTCAACGAACCAATCGACCGCCTCTTTCGTCGCTTGATCTCACTCTCGGCACGTGAACATGGGCGGGAGCGCGATCACGTGGTGAAAGAACACGCATGACTGGTCCAAAACGGGCACGTGATACTGCAAGCATAGGGGTAAACAGAGTTTTAAAAATATTATGGCAAATTGCTATAATAGGTAATCTAACTCTTTTCGCAGAAGTGGCGGCCGGTGTGATTATCTTGGGTGGTATGAAAAAAACGGGTTGCGGCCTGAATATCCATCGAGACGAAAGATCCAACGAGTCGAAAGATCCCATTGGCCACGATATCCAGCGAGACGGAATATCCAACCAGGTCTGAATGTCCACTGAGGCTGGATATCCAATGTGTTATGTTTATTTTATTCCTGTAATTTATCGAGCATACTGCTCCCAGATAACTAATAATAAGCCAGGACCTTTTTTTTTAGTGCACATTTTTGTATCCTATGTGAAAGGGCTTGCTGGAATGCTACAACGATCTCCGTGCCGAAACAAAATAATTTTTTTTTTTAGATGATAAATGAATGGAATGCGCTGCCTAGTGAAATTGTTTGTGCCGCAAATGCAGAAAGTGTTTTTGTTTTGTTTTTAATGCTAGTTCGCCCTCTGCGGTAATGCCTGATATAGGCGCCGCAGGCTCAAAATAACTAAATAATAAATATTAAAAATAACAAAAGTAACCAAAGTCAGCACCGAAGCTTAGCAGTCATGTGCACCCCAAAAGGTATTTTAAGAAAAAAAAAAAAAAAAAAACACGTTGCAGACAGAATTAAGTTAAAAGGATGCGAGAAACAATGAGTCTTCAACGCAGCGAAGCACCGGGAACTTTCTAAACGAGGTTCATCACTGAGTCTAGAATACAAAAGCGACTGATCGCTCCGAAACTAAAAAGTAGGCGTACAACAAAGAGGTCTTCAAAACTTTTATCTTCTACGCATAAATGTCCCATGTTACCCCCTTCCGATTTTGGACCCAAGTTTTCTTTATGCTATTGACCTCAAATCACTTACCAGGTTAGGAAGGTGCACTCTTATTCTTGGTTCGATATAACAATGGTGCAAAACCTCCTGAGTGGGTTCAAACCCTAGACTGCAGACAAACTAAACCATTCACTTATTTGCAGACTTGTACACGTTACTGAAAAAAAGTAACTGATTACAATTACAATTACTACAGTCAAAAAAGTAACCGATTACCGTTACTGATTACTGCCTCCCAGAAGTAATTGAACAATTACTGCAAAGTAATTGATTACTTTTCAAGTTACTTTCACGTTACTTCTTATTGCGATGACAGAAATACACAAATACACAGTAAAATATTGCGTACACAATTTTGTTTCGTTATTTTTCCCTTTTTTCTTTTCAGACCCGGACCTTGTCGTGTAGCTGACGCGTCGACCTAAGGAACAAAGCCCACTAAAAAGTCAATAGCGAGTTCCCGCTTCCCGTCGACTTTATCAGCAATCTGCAACGAGATCCGGAACTCCCCAGCCAAGGCTGGTGGCGCGCTTGTAGAAGAGCGTGGCGCAAAAGAAAAAAAGATTTGCCGATTAATCCTAGTTTTATTTTTTTTAGATGTTAAGAAAATGTCAATCATCTTTGCTCCATGGCTGAGTGACTATGTTGATTTTTGTGAGAAAAAAAAATTGTGGAATGAAAAATGTAATTGGTAATTGTGTAATTGATTTTGTAATTGATTACAGAAAAAAAGTAATTGAATTACTCCGAGCGTTACAGCTTGACAAATGTAATTAAAGCGTTACAAAATTACACTTAACTGTAATTGATTACAAGTAATCAATTACTTGTAACGCGTTACGTACAAGTCTGCAAGTTATTTGTAATGAGAGGGAATGTCTGAGGAGTCTGAATATCCAACCTGGCCGGAATGTCAAACGTGTCTGAATATCCAACGAGCCTGAATATCCACTAGTGAATCTTTCGTCTCGTTGGATATTCAGGCTCTGAATACTCCGAAGCTGAATCTAGGCCACCGTCGCTTAGTGGACCTAACAGAAGTGCCACGCCCCCACATCTTCCACCCAAAAAAACATCAAACTGGGAACCCGGAAAAGGGTGGATTATGTTGCACACGTGAAAGGTTCTAGAATCACAAACGTTTAGCGATACTCTCAGTTTTCACACGCCAGACGCCTGCGTTCACGGCGCTCTTCATCCGAAACGCGTATCATGTGCATACTTGATAGTTGTTTCTAGAATGAAGCGATACTACCGCTAATCGGGCTGAGCAACCTGGCGATCTTCTAGA